GGGGGGGCAGAGGGTCACAAATAGGGGAAAGATGACAGGATTTTGTCAAATTGCATTTAAATATAACCCCTGACTTACCATGTAATACATGTACACTACCAGCAACATCTAGCTATTCAAACTTCAATTTTGCTAACGTTTCCAGGTGAGCGATACAGGCCCTCTGGACCTCTTGTTTTCATCCTTATTGTTAGCTTTATAAACAGTCGTTGCAGAAGTTTTCTTATTATAGTCCATAATAGTAATCACTCTGTCTGTCTGTCTGTCCGTCCATCCACAAATTTTGTTCCTGGCTGATAACTTTGGTATCTATGGACCGATGTACATGAAACTTGGTCAAGATGTTCAGTTCACAAAAATACACATTGAGGTAAAAAGTCAAGGTCAAAGGTCAAGGTCATTAGGTTCAAAGGTCAAGGTCAAATTTTACATCTTTTCACTGATGAACATTTTGTTATGACATTATGAAGCAAAGTTCATCAGAATTAAACAAGGAGTCAACTGACCTAAGGTCAAGGTCATCGGGTCAGGGGTCAAGGTCAAAATTTGTAGCTTTTCACTGGTGAATATTTCGCTATGACATTATGGACCAAAGTTGTTCAGAATTAAACAAAGAGACACACTGAAGTAAAAAGTCAAGGTCAAAGGTCAAGGTCATTAGATTCAAAGGTCAAGGTCAGATTTTGCATCTTTTCACTGATGAACATTTTGTTATGACATGATGAAGCAATGTTGCTTAGAATTAAACACGGAGTCAATTGACCAAAGGTCAAGATCACTGGGTCAAAGGTGAAGGTTAAATTTTGTACCTTTTCCCTGATGCACATTTTGTTATGACATTATGAAGCAATGTTGTTCAGAACTTAACACAGAGTCAACTGACCTTAGGTCCAGGTCACGGGATCCAAAGGGTCGAGGTCAAGTGTTGTATTTTTCACTGATGAACATTTTGTTATGATATTAAGAAGTAAAGTTGGTCTGAATTAAAAAATAAGTCAATTGTCCAAAGATCAGGGTCACTGGGTTAATGGTCAAGGTCATTTGGGGCCAAAGGTCAAAGACAAAGTGGATCTCTGACTTTGATCCTGGCTCTTGATGGAGGAGGTATATAAGGTGAAATAAACAAATCAAAACTAACAAATGAGTATTGCACTGGTATTTACATTTCTGTTAGCCCAGCAAATATGGAGGTGGAAGGAAACTAGACTCACATCATAGTGCATGTAAAATGTATATTTTGCTTCCTTGCTATTCTTTTTGAAGTCCAAATGTCAAACGTCAAGCTCAGCTATATGGGCAGATCGCTTCTTGATGATTATGGGGTATATATTAATTGGCTCAAGACGGGGCCCTTACTGACCTGTCAGTGTTCTAGTTGATGTTTGAGATTATGGACCAGAGAAAGGTTGTCTATTATTCATTTCTTGATATTTTGAATTCCAAAATAAATTGATTTCATTTGCAGTATTAAATAAAAGTGTTCTTTTTCACTGCAGTTTGCAAAATCTGTCTGAAAAGAATCATCACCATCTTTGTAACAATGTCTCCCCAGGTTAACAGTCAAGAGAATTGTCCGTCATTATTTGACCCTGCCCAGATACTCCTATGGGTATGGAAACCTAGTTTCAGTTTCACAATCATAAGAATTTTCTGTTGTTATTTGAGCTTTTTTTCCACAGTTAATCACCACACTGGCCCTGTTCAACACGAAGAAGGAGAGACGATGTTCCATGAGAATCCAAGATGGCTGTACCTGTCATCACGACCTGTTTGTTCAGGGTATAGTGAAGGTAAGTACATCACCCCTGATCTAGACTTCAGGCCCCTTACAAACTCAAGCCTTTGTTTTCTTCTGTGGCCATTCAACATGTAAATATCGAAGCATCATGTTTACAAAGTGTCCACATAATTTTGTTTGAGATTGTTTCTTATTTTTCACCAACTTTTAGTTCTCACACTAATCACTTATCTTTATGAAGTAGTGCCAGGAAACTACAGAGTAATTCAAGTTAACAATATTTTTCCATTTTCAAGTCCGCACTATTTTTAGCTAACCTGCCGGAAGGGCAAGTGAGCTTATGCCATGGCGCGGCGTCCGTCGTCCGTCAACTTTTCCTAAAAAACGCTACTAGTCATAAACGACAGAGCAGATTTTGACCAAATTTGGTCAGAAGCATCCTTAGGGGAAGGGAAACAAATTCTGTATAAATGGTGGGTCTGGCCCCCCAATGGGCTGAGGGGCGGGGCTCAATAGGGGAAATATAGCAAATTCTTTAAAATCCTTCTTCTTCTGTAGGAATGAAAAGATTTGTCAATATTTTGTCTGGAGCATCCTTGGTTGAAGGGGAAACAATTTTGTATAAACCTGGGGTCTGAGGGGCGGGGCCCAATAGGAAACGTATAGTAAATTCTTTAAAATCCTTCTCCCTCTGTAGGAATGAAAAGATTTGTTTAATATTTAGTCTGAAGCATCCTTAGGTAAAGGGGAACCTATTTTGTATAAACCAGGGGTCTGGGCCTGAGGGGCAGGGCCCAATAGGGAACAAATAGTAAATTCTTTAAAATCCTTCTCCTTATGTAAGAATGAAAAGATTTGTTCCATATTTAGTCTGAAGCATCCTTAGGTAAAGGGGAACCAATTTTGTATAAACCGGGGGTCTGTCCCCTGATGGGCCTGAGGGGCGGGGCCCAATAAGGGAAATATAGCAAATTCTTTAAAATCCTACTTCTTCTGTAGGAATGAAAGGATTTGTTCCATATTTGGTCTGAAGCATCCTTTGGTGAAGGGGAACCAATTTTGTATAAACCGGGGGTCTGAGGGGTGGGGCCAAATATGGGAAACATAGCAAATTATTATATCCTTCTTATTCTGTAGGAATGAAAGGATTTGTTCCATATTTGGTCTGAAGCATCCTTAGGTGAAGGGGAACCAATTTTGTATAAACCGGGGGTCTGAGGGGTGGGGCCAAATATGGGAAACATAGCAAATTATTATATCCTTCTTATTCTGTAGGAATGAAAGGATTTGTTCCATATTTGGTCTGAAGCATCCTTAGGTGAAGGGGAACCAATTTTGTATAAACCGGGGGTCTGAGGGGTGGGGCCAAATATGGGAAACATAGCAAATTATTATATCCTTCTTATTCTGTAGGAATGAAAGGATTTGTTCCATATTTGGTCTGAAGCATCCTTAGGTGAAGGGGAACCAATTTTGTATAAACCGGGGGTCTGAGGGGTGGGGCCAAATATGGGAAACATAGCAAATTATTATATCCTTCTTATTCTGTAGGAATGAAAGGATTTGTTCCATATTTGGTCTGAAGCATCCTTAGGTGAAGGGGAACCAATTTTGTATAAACCGGGGGTCTGAGGGGTGGGGCCAAATATGGGAAACATAGCAAATTATTATATCCTTCTTATTCTGTAGGAATTAAAGGATTTGTTCCATATTTGGTCTGAAGCATCCTTAGGTGAAGGGGAACCAATTTTGTATAAACCCTGGGTCTGACCCCCCAGGGGCCTGAGGGGCTGGGCCAAAAGGGGGCAATTGGGCTATATTGATTTAAGCGACTTCTTCTCTGGAACTAAGAAATGGATATCAACCATATTTGACCGGAAGCATCCCTCGGTAGTGGAAATTCAAAATTGTACAAATGGTTGGGCTGACCCCCCAGGGGGCTGAGTGGGGGGGCCAAAAGTTGGCAATATGGCTATATTGCTACAAACGACTTCTTCTGTAGAACTATGCACTGGATATCAACCATATTTGACTGGAAGCATCCCTAGGTGGTGGGGATTCAAAATTTGGTTGGGCTGACTCCCCAGGGGGCTGAGGGGTGGGGCCAAAAGGGGGCAATTTGGCAACTTTGAAATGGTTAAGATCCCCACCCCAAAACTATATATACATGTACAATTGTTGGGCATAAAGAGACGAATGCAGTCATGATATTAGAATTGACCCCAGGGTGTGCCCCACCCTTGAAGACTTAACCCCTGGGTCTGACTTTGAAATGGTTGAGATCCCACCACAAGACTATAAATACAAATGCAGACGAATGCAGTCATGATATTAGAATTGATCCTGGGGTCTGGCCACAACCCTAGGGATCTAGTCACAGCTTAAAAACAGTTCAGATCCCCACCCCATAATCATACATTAAATTGCTGGGCATGAAAAATCTAATACAGACATACTACAAGAATTGGCATTAGGGTCTGGCATATTCCCTTGGATCTCATTCGGAGAATATTTTGCCATGATTGCTTAGATATCCAGGTGAGCGATACAGGCCCTCTGGGCCTCTTGTTTAAAACAATTCATACAAACACCATTTTTCTTGTAACTTATTGTTGATGATACTATGCTATTTTTTCTGGTTGTAGAAATGCACAAATGTGATTTTTGGAATATTTATTTATGCTATTACAATTCGATGGGTGTAACAATACAGTATTTGGTTAAAATCCTGCACACATTTGCAATGTAACCTTGTTAGTTTGATTTCAGATAAAATACTATTAACCTGTATGGTAGTTTCTATGATGCATGTAGACATCTTGATGAGGCTGTATGTATGCACACAAAAACATATGATGGGCTATAACATGTTAACAATTTGTGTATTTTATGTTCACAGAAATCAATGTGTAGATATATTCAACGTGAATTTATTAACACAGACAGCAGGGATTTATGAACAATTGATGTATCTATTCTTACTGAAAACTGTTAAGTGTAAACAACTTGGGTATATGTTTAAACAACATAAATTTGTAATTTGTGGACAAACTGCATCTTTTAACAGAAATCAGATGTGTAAAAAAACATGCTAATCTATTAACACAATCTATGATTTGTAAACAATATATATTAAATACATAAACCTTTGTTGTGTATCTGTTAACACAGAAATGCAGCGATGCATATGACCTACCAGTTGCCCAAATAGTGGACAGTAAATATCCGGTCAGTACCATCAACTTGACCACTCGAGATGTGAAGCAGGCTTACTCATATCGCCATCAGAGGTTGTATAGTCCACAAGGGGTCGGGCCAAACAAGTGAGTATACAACACCATATACAATGTAGGGTCGGGCCAAACAAGTGAGTATACAACACCATATACAATGTAGGGTCGGGCCAAACAAGTGAGTATACAACACCATATACAATGTAGGGTCGGGCCAAACAAGTGAGTATACAACACCATATACAATGTAGGGTCGGGCCAAACAAGTGAGTATACAACACCATATACAATGTAGGGTCGGGCCAAACAAGTGAGTATACAACACCATATACAATGTAGGGTCGGGCCAAACAAGTGAGTATACAACACCATATACAATGTAGTAAGAGCCACACTTCATGAGAGATTGTACTGTAAATGTCACTAGTTACCAGCCACTTTGAAGCAGATGGAATGAATTTAAGTTGATAGCTTTACAAAGGGCCAATTGTACTGTAAACTTAAGATAATATCTGTCCGATATTCCAACCTATTGGTAATAGTTGAAAAAGTACTTTGTAAAATCGTTGTTGAACAATGATTCCAGATAATTATTTGCTTCTTTTTTCTTTCGGTTGTATTTTGTAGTGTTTTGCTTCTATTGAGCCTCAAGAGTTTATGACCTATAGCTTATGACCTATAGTTTATGACCTATAGTTTATGACCTATAGCTTATGACCTATAGTTTATGACCTATAGTTTATGACCTATAGCTTCAACCCGAAATCAAACTTTTGAGTCTTTGTCAGTATGTGTATAGTTATTTAATAATCATGAAAATTAAATACAAATTTGATCCTTTATATTGTCACTGAAGTAATCAGATACTGAAAAGCCTAGAAAAACAAATTGTTTCAGAAACAGAATAATGTACTTCCCCTAACCAAGTAGACCGAATAACAATTACTTTTTGTGTACGTGTTGTTGAAAAAGAGCTCATCCTGATCTCAGTAGACAAAATGAGAATGATTTTTTATGTTGTTGATAGTGAGCTTACCCTGATCCCAGTAAACAAAATGAGAATGATTTTTTATGTTGTTGATAGTGAGCTTACCCTGATCCCAGTAGAACACAGTGAGAACCTGGTCCTAGCGCTTATGGATGAGGTGTGTATACCAAGTGTATATTGAGAAAGTATAGTTATAGAGTGACTTAAAATTATCAAATGCTTTTGAATATTCTTAAGTATCAGTCTATTACATTATGATAATTGTATTTCAATTTAAATATCATGAGAATATTATCAGTACCAACGATTTAAATTTCAAACAAATCTTCAGAAACACTGGTAAAGAACTTAATCTTTTCTGAAATATGGGTTGAGAAAAAGAGAAATCAAGGCTTTTCTCGCATATAGCAACATTGAGTGTCTATATAATATCACCAGTTGGAGAAGCTGCCTGCTGAGTGTGGGGTGCGGGAGGCGTATATATCACACTTTGTCACGACGCTGCAGAGGAAAGCACTCGCTCTCATAAAATATGTGGAAGGTGAAACGTATGTATGAGCAGCCAATTAGACCGTTACGTGTTATATTGAATGCTGGTAATTCTTTTGAAGGGTTAATTAAATTGAAGTGTACTTCTTTGTACATTTATATTGTTAAAAGTAACCTACTTAATATATGCCTGTGATAAGTCTTTGGGATTACCTAGTAATTTGTAGAATTTTTGTCATTAGTACTGGACTTATTTCAGAATTCTGATCTATATGAACAATTTGCCTACTCTGTAAAACACCAAATATGGGGGTTATCACGTTAAATATATATGTCAATTTGGTTGAAATTAAATGAACTCCAATATTCATGACTACTTGAAGCTGTCTGATTTTACAGGAACTACGGAAGCACTATGTTTCGTTCTGGAATGAAGAAATTGCGACAGGACTTGGGTATAGCATCTGAAGGAGACCTACAGATAATACTGGCTACGGCGGAGAAACTGAAACCTGGAATCATTTATTTTGTATTCGGGGATGGTCAGTGGTCAAGTAGAAGTACTGATGTGTGGTCGTCAGGGGTGATGGAATGAAATTGGGATTTATCATCAAAAACTAGTCCAAGCAGTGGTGAAAACAATTCTGGAGTTTATAGAGTAATTGATTGAAACTTTGTGTAGAGGCCTAACCACTTTTATTTCCAGGAAAAATCTGGAATGAACTTTTCAGATAAAGCAAATATTAATACTAAACAAAGAACTTAATGTTTAGGATCAAGGAACAGTCTTTCCGAATATTCAAATTTAGTGATGTGATGTTCAAACGAAGCGGATAACTTCTTATAAACCTCTTTAATAAAAGAATGAAAATTGAGTTCGTAGTGGAAGAGATTGAGAGAGAAGTCAGTGTTTTGACTTATGTTTGCTGAGATAACTTTAAATTTTTAGCCCACCATCATCTGATGGTGGGCTATTCAAATCACCCTGCGTCCGTCGTCCGTCCTTAAAGAATTCTTTTTATCGGTATTGATCAAGAAGTACTAGAGGAAACTTTCTCAAATTTTATATATAGGTTCCCCTTGGTGCAGGGTAACTTTTGAGACTGATCGGATAAACAACATGGCCGACAGGCAGCCATCTTGGATTTTGATAGTGAGCGTTTGTTATCGCTATTTCTCGGGAAGTACGGGAGGGATCTTTCTCAAATTTTATATGTAGGTTCCCCTTGTTTCCTTGTTGTGCAGCAGTGCCTGAAATGGATTATCGCCTGCTCGCCAATGGCCCAACAAATATAGTTTGGGCGACTGTTGAAAAATTAATGAATAAAAGAAATTATAGTCCCTTCCACATTAACTGGGGGGCAGTACATTTTTCAGTTATCATTACTTCGATTTGAATCGAACTGTCCGTGATTTAGAAAATGTGATGATTTTTTTTCAGATTTTCTATATAAATACTGCAAGGGTGTCTTCTTTGAGGTGCAAGTTTTGTGTATTCATGTCAGGTTTTAACTAGGGTTGAAGAATTAAAAACATAATGTTTTATTCTGTTTTACATTTTACAAACATTGTCATGTTATATGTAAATTAAATGTGCTGAAGCATTGTGTTAAATGCTGTGGAAATATTTCTTCCCAAAATTATTTGGGCCACCAATATTTTACTCGCCCCCCCTTTTTTTTTTAGGCCAGCCAATGCAGGTTCCCCTCTATCCTTTATTGTTCATGTTTACTTTTGAAACTGATCAGTTAAACAAAATGGCCTACCAACAGCCATCTTCGATTTTTGACATTGAAGGTTTGTTAGTACTATTTCTCAGGAATAACTTTTGAGTAAGGGATCTTTCTCAAATTTGATATGTAGGTTCCTCTTGATCCCTCGTTGTTCATGTTATATTTTGAGACTGATCATAAAAAACAAAATGGCTAAAAGAAGAACTAAACAGATCTTTCTCATATTGCAATGATCGATTCTATTTCTTTCACATTAAGTACTGTACTAGTAAATATGTGAAATGACAAACTCATTTTGAAGGTTGGCTTTCATACATATCAGTATTAAGTTTAGATCAAAAGTTACCTCAAGGTGCATTTACTGTTTACATGACTCGATCAAACAGATTAGAGGAATGAAGAGAAAAGATTGAACTGACAAAGAACTAATGAAGATGATATAATGGTGGGTGCCAAGATCCCTCTGGGATCTCTTGTTAAAATCAATGTTTAGCAGAAACGATTATCTCTGATAGAAAATAGGGACACAGTACAGAGATATTTGTTAGGTATGCTATGCTAACTTAAGCTGATGGATAATCAGCAACCCTATATTTATTTGTGATGTTGTTTTATTAATGATTTTGTACACAAAACTTTCACTCTCTATACCAATGCACACATTGAGCGCTATGAACTCTAAGCAATATAATTCAGTTACTTTTTTGTCAATTTGAAATGTCTTAATCAAAATGTACAGGTTATTTATAGGTGTCATTCCAAACTTATTCCTGATACCTTGACATTTGATTTCCTTTTATCCTCTGATATTGCCCCGGAAAGAACACTTCTCTTTCAAAATTTAGTTTATGACAATATCAGAATTGTGAACAACCTCATGTAGATAAAGCTGTAGATGCTGAGGGTCTGTACATGTTCACTGTACTACACGACAGTTGTGTCATTATGTTAGTATCATGTAACAACAGACAATGTATCACCATCATGTTTAGGTAATGATGTTTTGTCCTGTATCTTTAGAGAAATCAGTACAAAGTACTAAATAAGATGCATCATTTACATTTTGATGAAACTCAAGATTTTAGTTCCTGAGTTGTCTTTGTAAAATGACTAACGTCAGAACTTTGTTTTATTAAACATTCCACAAATTACATTTCTATTTGTTCTATTTTATTTTGTTGTTGTCTTTCTTAAAGTTTTATCATATATATGGGTCAAGGTCATAGTGTGTCACAACTGGTGATAGATAATACTCATATCATTTTCCTACATCCATCGATCAAGGTCATGTCAAAGGTCAAATAATTGTAATGCTTGTCCGGGGTAGCTGAACAACATAACTTGTTTATATTAATCTTCGTAAGTGGATTTATCGCAAACTAGAACACCGACAGGTCAGTAAGGGCCCGTCTTGTGGCAATATATCCCCCATAATCATCAAGAAGCAATCTGCCCATATAGCTGAGCTTGACGTTTGGCATTTGGACTTCAAAAAGAATCGCAAGGAAGCAAAATATACATTTTACATGTACTATGATGCAAGTCTTGTTTCCTTCCACCTCCATATTTGCTGGGCTAACAGAAATGTAAATACCGGTGCAATACTCATTTGTTAGCTTTGATTTGTTTTATTTCACCTTATATACCTCCTCCATCAAGAGCCAGGGTCAAAGTCAGAGATCTACTTTGTCTTTGACCTTTAGCCCCAAATGACCTTGACCATTAACCCAGTGACCCTGATCTTTGGTCAGTCGACTTATTCTTAAATTCCGACCAACTTTGCTTCACAATATTATTACAAAATGTTCATCAGTGAAAAATACAAAACTTGACCTTGACCCTTTGGACCCCGTAACCTGGACCTAAGGTCAGTTGACTCTGTGTTAAGTTCAGAACAAGTTTGCTACATAATAACATAAGAAAAAGTTCATCAGTAAAAAGATACAATAATTGACCTTGACATTGACCATGTGACCTTGACCTTAAGTCATTTGACTCTTTGTTAAATTCCGACCAACTTTGCTTCATTAAGTCATAACAAAATATTCATCAGGGAAAAGATACAAAATTTGACCGTGACCTTTGACCCAGTGACCTTGACCTTTGGTCAATTGACTCCTTGTTTAATTCTGAGCAACATTGCTGCATAATGACATAAACAAAATGTTCATCAGGGAAAAGATACAAAATTTGACCTTGACCTTTGACCAAGTGACCTTGACTTTTGGTCAATTGATTCCTTGTTTAATTCTGAGCAACATTGCTTCAAAGTGTCATACCAAAATGTTCACCAGTGAAAAGATACAAAATTTAACCTTGACCTTTGACCCAATGACCTTGACATTTGGTCAGGTTGACTCCTTGTTTAATTCTTATCAACTTTGCTTCATCATGTTATAACAAAATGTTCATCAGTGAAAAGATGCAAAATTTGACCTTGAGCTTTGAATGTAATGACCTTAACCTTTGACCTCAACTTTTTACCTCAGTGTGTCTCTTTGTTTAATTCCGAACAACTTTGCTTCATAATGTCATAAAATCCTCATTTGTGAAAAGCTACAAAATTTGACCTTGACCCCTGACCCGATGACCTTTGGTTAGTTGACTCCTTGTTTAATTCTGAGCAACATTGCTTCAAAGTGTCATACCAAAATGTTCACCAGTGAAAAGATGCAAAATTTGACCTTGACCTTTGAACCTAATGACCTTGACCTTTGACCTCAAAGTGTATTTTTGTGAACTTAACATCTTGACCAAGTTTCATGTACATCTCAAATACCAAAGTTATCAACCAGGAACAAAATTTGTGGACAGACAGACGGACGGACGGACAGACAGACAGAGGGATTACTATAGGGCACCCGAATCTTCAATACGGGGCCCTAAGTAACGATGTCAAATACAGCTGTTATGTCTGTAAATCCAATGTCAAAGTCACTAAAGGGTTAAAGGTCTTATTGTGATATTCAACTGAGCCATAACTTCTGTAAGCATTTATTGTGAAATATATAGATGTATAATGATAACTTGCAGACTAATAATGTATCACTAATATTATACTAAAATCAACAACAAGGAAACACAATTGTACGCTAAAATCCATGCATTTAATTATCATGACAATAATTGATACAATATTTATACATGTATGCATTCTGTATGATGACTGATGAGGTCTGTATGAGTTTCAGGATGAAGCTTTAGGTTTGAAGAAACAACTAATGGATCTCTGTTTATCATCAGGCTTACTGGGAGTCTTCTTTATCTAAAAAAAGAAAAGTAACTGAACAAGATAAAACTGATCATGACCTACCTTTACAAGTGAAAACTGAAATCACTAAATTTCACACAAGTGAAAACTGATATCACAGAATTTCACAAGTGAACACTGATATCACAGAATTTCACACAAGTGAAAACTGATATCACAGAATTTCACAAGTGAACACTGATATCACAGAATTTCATACATGTGAAAACTGACATCACAGAATTTCACAAGTGAACATTGTTATCACAGAATTTCACACATGTGAAAACTAATTGATATCACAGAATTTCACAAGTAAAAACTGATATCACAGAAAATAGGGTTTTATTATTGCTGTATGTGGTCTGAATACAGTATGTAAAATTTCATCACTTTAAACCAAAATCAAATCAATGAAAGTTGGAAATAAACAGGTGTAAAACAAAATGTTCTTCGATGTATGTAATCTCTATTGGATACATTTACCAGGTATATATAGTGACACTTGTCTAATCTGACACCCTGAGAGTCACAACTTACTGGTCAGATTGGGCAGGGTATCAGAATACACAGGTGTTATCTGTCAGTTTTCTTAAAAAGCCCTTTCATATTGCAAATAAATGCCAACAAAAAAGTGATGGCATTAATTGCAGATGTGAATGCCATTTCAATGTCGTAGGTTATATAATGGCAATACCATATGGTGGTAAAATATATACCTTTTTACTGCCTGGTTTAGAAGATAATGAAGCTTCATATGCCTTGAAGACCTGTGATAAGAAATGAAAAACACTAAAGCTAAAAAGATAATCTACAGGGGTCCTGTACAGCTAGGCTGGTCTCTCACTATCCAATAGCCCAGTTAAACTTTGACCCTTTGCTTTCCAAACGGCAGGAGAATGAGGAAGCTATGATAGCACTTCACTTGCATTATGGACCTTTGTAGGAAGATGTTTCAAGGTCTTGTTGGCTCCTGTGACCTTGAAAGTTCGTCAAGGTCATTAATTTGAACAAATTTGTTAGCCCTTCATTCCAGCCAGCCTACTGTAAACACACTATTTTAGCACATTATCAGACTTTGACAGTTAATCACATTGATAAGTTGGTGAACCCTCACTCCATGTAATACAAACAATGTACAGACATTTCAATTAACACAATCCTAATTTAGTATTAGAATACTTTATGTACCAAATATTCTAAAATAAGACAACTGCTAAAATACCTGTAAGCATATTAATTTTACAGTACTACTCATTGTATACCATGCATTCCAGGGGACCTAAAAAAAAGACTTTCTGACTGCCTTTTGTAGCCTCATAAGAGACAACCCTATGATTTTCATGAATGGATGACAAATTCTTGTCTAACATATGAACTGATTATTGAAACAATTTAACAACAGAAAAAATTATATTATGTAAACAAAACACATCTCACCTTATGAGATTATACTTGTTTTCTTTGGTCTTAATTACTTAAACGTTGACCAAAAGGTGAAGGTCACAGAGACCTTAATACAGTGCAATGCACACATTCTGAGGGTGTTGCAGGCATACTTCAATTTCCATCAAGATATATTCAAGAGTTTAAAATTTACAGCTCTGACAAGATTTGACAGACGGACTGGTTGTTCACCGTGACCTGATACAGCACACTGCACGCTTTCTGTGATTGAAGCAGGTATACTATTAGTTACACAGATTTTTGGCAGGGTATACGGGATGGTATGACCCTGAAGGGTTTCGGCCGAAGGAAATATGAAATCCTGTAGGGTCATACCATCCCATATACCCTGCCAAAAATCTGTGTAACAGATTTATTACCCCTTTGAGTCTTTTATAATAAAAACAAAGAAAAATAACATAGTTAGCCCTTTTGGCAAGTATTTCCTCATCAGTATGTGAAGCGAAACGTTTTGCCATTTTGTAAACAGCGAAGCAGGGGAGGAATGCAAGTTGTCTCCCGTTGCCCGGCCCCAAGATACAAAGACACATGACCCGTATACCCCTTGTAAAATCACGTGATTCCACCGTATTACTGCTGAGAATCACGTGACATGACTGTATACCCCCTGAGATTTTCGTATACCCCCTGAGATTTAAGAATGCGGTTTGGTACACTGTAGTTTTTAACCAATCAGATTCCTAGATTTTTCTCAAAAGGGGTAATAATGCAAGTTGTAGCACAATATCTTACATGATCGAAATTTAGAGCTCAAGACAAGATTTCAATGAACAGTTTGCACTTATTTGACCTTTGACTTAGAAGTGACAATGACCTAGTAAATTACAGTGCACTCTGTACCCCTGTAGATGATGCAGGTATTCTTTATGATAACTTTAACCGTTTAGAAGTTAAAAGCCAAGAGAAGATGATGTAAGAAGTACCCAAAATAAAACATTCTGTCTACATTTGATTAGAAGGACAGATAACAAATTCCTCCCTCACAAATTTCTCCCTTCTAAATCTGGTTAGACATGTATGTGTATACCAATACTAAGTAGACACATGTTTATATAAGAATAATAATGTCTTTAATGTAAACTGCTGTATTTGTCAATTTGTCCAGAAATCTCTTCATAATTGTGCACCGAAATTTAAACTGTTGTTAAAATATTACCTTCTTCATCCCTGTGGATACTGCACATTCAAAGAACTCTTCTTTGGTGACCCAGCGACTCGGTGGTTGTTCTGTTTCTAGAGTGACCTCCCCTTCCTTTACAGTAGCAGACTGTATGACATATGTTTGGTGAATGTGGGAGAAAATATGGACCACCTGTAGAAAAAGAGGTAGAGGCTGTCAATGTCAATTCACAATTATTTTTTATTTTATTACTAAATGATTCATTTACTGCTAAAGATGTACTGGTATCAAATATTCCATTTGTTTCTATGTAGTTTAATGACCTGTAATCCTACCTCTCCTATATGGTGACTCTGTCCTGCTGTTTGTAACGAGGCCCCACAAGCCTTATCCAGAACTGTTTCAGCAAGATTCTCTGATTTCTCTGCCTGCAGCAGTGATGGAAACTCCCACAACCCTGCCAGTAGACCTACACACAGAACAGGAAAAAAATATCTTAAAAGTCAGATGGTGTGATACATATTCGCTACTCACTCCAAAAAAACCCAACAAGAGGCCCATAGGGCCTGTATCGCTCACCTGGATATCTAAGCAATCATGGCAGAATATTCTCCGAATGAGATCCATGGGAATATGCCAGACCCCAAGGCCAATCCTTGTAGCATATATATCTGTATTCGATTTTTCATGCCAAGCAATTTTATGTATGGATATGGGGTGGGGATCTCAACTGTTTCCAATCTGTGACTCAGAAACTAGGTCCCTATGGTTGTGGCCAGACCCCAGGATCAATTCTAATATCATGACTGCATTTGTCTCTTTTTGCCCAGCATTTGTATATATAGTTTTGGGGTGGGGATCTCAACCGTTTCAAAGTTATGACCCAGGGGTTAAGTCTGCAAGGGTGGGGCAAACCCCAGGGTCAATTCTAATATCATGACTGCATTTGTCTCTTTATGCCCAACAATTGTATATATAGTTTTGGGGTGGGGATCTTAACCATTTCAAAGTTATGACCCAGGGGTTAAGTCTCCAAGGGTGGGGCAGTCCCCAAGGCCATCCTGGAAGCATATGTGCATTCATCTCTTTATACTCAGCAATTGTCTATATAGTTATAGGTCGGGGATCTCAACTGTTTCCAAGCTGTGACTAAGAAACTAGGTCCATAGGGGTTCGGTCAGACCCCAGGGTCTATTCTAATATCGTGACTGCATTTGTCTCTTTATGACCAGCATTTGTATATATAGTTTTGGGGTGGGGATCTCAACCGTTTTTAAGTTATGGCCCAAGGACTATGTTTCCAAGGTTGGGGCCAGACCCTAGGGCCATCCTGGAAGCAAATGTGCATTCTTCTCTTTATACTCAGCAATTGTATATGTGGTTATATGGTGGGGATCTCAACCATTTCCATGCAATAAACTCGTTTTGGACCCACCCCTTAGCCCGGGGGGGTCAGCCCCACCATTTGTACAATTTTGAATCCTGCCTCCCATGAATGCTTCCGACCAAATATGATCGATATCCAGTGCATAGTTCTACAGAAGTCGTTTATAGCAATGTAGCCAAATTGCCTCCTTTTGGCCCTGCCCTCAGCCCTCTGGGGGTCAGCCCCACCATTTGTGCAATTTTGAATCCCCACCACCTGGGGATGCTTCCAGTCTAATATGGTTGATATCCATCTCTTAGTTCCAGAGAAGAAGTCGGTTAAAGCAATATACCCTTTTTGGGCCCGCCCCTGAGCCCCCTGGGGGGTAAGCCCCACCATTTGTAAAATTTTAAATCCCTGCATCCCATGAATACTTTTGATTAAATATGATTGATATCCAGTGCATAGTTCTACAGAAGAAGTCGTTAGTAGAAATATAGCCAAATTACCCCTTTTTGGCCCCGCCCCTCAGCCCCCTGGGGGGGCCAGCCCCACCATTTGTACAATTTTGTACCAGGGTATGGCATTTTTAGCTCACCTGGTTCGAAGGACCAAGGTGAGCTAAAAATGGATCAAGTAGATCTTCAAAATAGTATTGTTTTTGTGCATAAAATACTAAACATACAATATACCTAGAAATTTCTATCCAGTTGTCCACCCCATCTAGTTCTAACCTTTACTTGGTCGCTGTACAATGAGGTACTGGTCCCTGTTGCCCTGTCCTCTCTGACACACGATACACTCAAAACACTATATATCCCCCCCCCCCCCCCCAGGTCTAGTTCTCCCCTTTACTTGGTCGCTGTACAATGAGGTACTGGTCCCTGTTGCCCTGTCCTCTCTGACACACTATACACACAAAACACTATATATCCCCCACCCCCACCCTGCCAGGTCTAGTTCTCACCTTTACTTGGTCGCTGTACAACGAGGTACTGGTCCCTGCCGTCCTGTCAACTCTGACACACGATACACACAAAACACTATATATTCCCCCCACCCCCACCCCGCCAGGTCTAGTTCCCACCTTTACTTGGTTGCTGTACAATGAGGTACTGGTCCCTGCCGTCCTGTCAACTCAGACACATGATACACACAAAACACTATATATTCCCCCCACCCCGCCAGGTCTAGTTCCCACCTTTACTTGGTTGCTGTACAATGAGGTACTGGTCCCTGCCGTCCTGTCAACTCTGACACACGATACACACAAAACACTATATATTCCCCCACCCCACCAGGTCTAGTTCTCACCTCTACTTGGTCGCTGTACAATGAGGTACTGGTCCCTGCCGTCCTGTCCTCTCTGACACACGATACACACAAAACACTATATATCCCCCCCCCACCCCGCCAGGTCTAGTTCTCACCTTTACTTGGTCGCTGTACAATGAGGTACTGGTCCCTGCCGTCCTGTCCTCTCTGACACACGATACACACATCTGTTCGCTCCTCTCTTGCTGCCTTCTTCTTTCCTTTCCTGGGATAATTTTCAACACCGTTGCTGAGAATGAAGAAAACATTTTGGACAAAGCTGAGCAATAGTTGAAGTACTTGGATCTTCTATTCACTGACTGATTTAAATGAATGAACGAAGTCCTTTGTTTTTTGTTCATTATTTGAAGTCAATGCACTGAAATTTTTTTTTGAAAATATTTGAGCATTTTACTTTCTCAGTTTCTGCAACTAGTTGTCATGAATTCAAAATCAAGAAAAGTAAATATTCTGACGATATTGCAAATGAAATATTTGTGTTTTAGTTAAAACATTTACGAAAAAAATGCACAAAATTACTTCCTAGAATCCTCATTAAACGAAAGAAGAAAGTTTTAATCTTCTATTAAATGTAACCCTGTACCAATCTTATTGTGCTTCCTTCGTCTCTTTTGTACAATCAATTTACATTTTGTATATATAATACCTTGGCTCCCATTTGTCCTCATCCTGGAAACACAGAGGGCAGCTGTCAGTCACTGACAAAAGAGGAATAAATCTTAAATATTCTGGTATTTACAAGTATATCAATATGCAACTATAAAAAAAATCAATTATATTATTTGTTGTCTTTAAAACCCTAGAATTATGCCTGAACCTGAACTAACTGAAGTTCAAAGTTTTGTAGGACAAACAATACACATTATATATGTAGGTCGGGATCAAACAATCTTTTTAACATTTTAAGTATTCAACAACTTCCAGTGCAGTGGACTGGATCATTCAACAACCTCAAAGTTTGGGGGTATTCAACAACTTCAAAGTGAATGGGGTAATCAACAACTTCAAAATGAGTAGGACCCCAAACTCTGTGGGGTATTCAACAACCTTAAAATCTGTGGGGTATTCAACAACTTCAAAGTTTGTATGGTATTCAACAACTTCAAAGTCTGTGGGGGTATTCAACAACTTCAAAATGAGTAGGATATTCAACAACTTTAAAGTCTGTGGGGTATTCAACAACTTCAAAGTTTGTATGGTATTCAACAACTTCAAAGTTTGTATGGAATTCAACAACTTCAAAGTGTGTGGGCATTCAACAACTTCAAAATGAGTGGGATATTCAACAACTTTAAAGTCGGTGGGGTATTCAACAACTTCAAAGTTTGTATGGTATTCAATAGCTTCAGAGTATGTAGGGTATTCAACAACTTCAAAGTCTATGGGGTATTCAACATTTTCAAAGTCTGTGGGGTATTCGGCAACTTTTAGTGAAATATTCCACAATTTTCAAGTAAGCATATTCTGCTGTACTTTTTGTTTACAAACATTCTTTAAGATTATAACTCTTTCAACAATGGTGTCAGGATTCCATGGTAACAACAGTACAAGCACCTACAACAGTACAGGTACCTACAACAGTACAGGTACCTACAACAGTACAGGCACCTACAACAGTACAGGTACCTACAACAGTACAGGTAACTACAAAAGTACAGGTACCCACAACAGTACAGGTACCTACAACAGTACAGGTACCTACAACAGTACAGATACCTACAACAGTACAGGTAACTACAAAAGTACAGGCACCTACAACAGTACAGGCACCTACAACAGTGCAGGCACCTACAATAGTACATGTACCTACAACAGTACAGATACCACAACAGTACAGGCACCTACAACAGTACAGGCACCTACAACAGTACAGGCACCTACAATAGTACAGGTACCTACAACAGTACATGTAACTACAACAGTACAGGCACCTACAACAGTACAGGCACCTACTACAACAGTACAGGCACCTACAATAGTACAGGTACCTACAACAGTCCATGTAACTACAACAGTACAGATACCTACAACAGTACAGGCACCTACAACAGTACAGGCACCTACAACAGTACAGGTACCTACAAAAGTACATGTACCTACAACAGTACATGTAACTACAACAGTACAGATACCTACAACAGTACAGGCACCTACAATAATACAGGTACCTACAACAGTACATGTACCTACAACAGTACAGGCACCTACAACAGTACAGGTAACTACAACAGTATATGTAACTACAACAGTACAGATACCTACAACAGTACAGATACCTACAACAGTACAGGTACCCACAACAGTACAGGTAACTATAACAGTACAGATACCTACAACAGTACAGGCACCTACAACAGTACAGGCACCTACAACAGTACAGGCACCTACAACAGTACAGGTACCTACAACAGTACAGGTACCTACAACAGTACAGGTAACTACAACACTATAGGTACCTACAACAGTACAGGTAACTACAACAGTACAGGTAACTACAACACTACAGGTACCTACAACAGTACAGATACCTACAACAGTACAGGCACCTACAGCAGTACAGGCACCTACAACAGTACAGGCACCTACAACAGTACAGGTACCTACAACAGTACAGGTACCTACAACAGTACAGGTAACTACAACACTATAGGTACCTACAACAGTACAGGTAACTACAACAGTACAGGTAACTACAATAGTACAGGTACCTACAACAATACAGATACCTACAACAGTACAGGTACCTACAACAGTACAGGTAACTACAACACTATAGGTACCTACAACAGTACAGGTAACTACAACAGTACAGGTAACTACAACACTACAGGTACCTACAACATTCGATGTCTGTAACAGCATTGTTGTTGTTGGTGAGAATCTTTTTTGCAGACTTCTGTTTTTCATTTTCTACCTGAAATGGAAATATAAATTCCAAGTACATATACTGAAATATTAATCTGAGTTGGTACTTAAGTTGTTGGGTGAATTTAGATACCGAGGCTCAAATGCTCATCAGTATGTTTCTGTTGTCTTTTGCGTGGACATAAATTCTGTTTTTTCCCCACTTAGTCTGTATGTATTTATTTCTTATTAATATTTAAGACTATATCATGCCTAAGGGATAGGGAAATTCCACCCGAGGGAGCGGGATTTTCAAATTTGGTAAAACCCCGAGTCGAAAAATCCTGAGGGTGTAATTTCCCTAGCCTACACCCTTAGGCATGAAAGAGTATTTTTCTCTCATTCCAATCACCAGGATAAGCTCAGAAACCATGAAAATGCGTTTGGACTGGCCACCATTTTGAAAATATCAATTTTCCCCCGGAGCTTTTTAGACGAAAATGAATTAGCCAGCCAGATTTAGTATATCCCATGTTTGCAAACAATGTTTACGCAGAAAAATTAATCACATCTTTATAATATGTACGGTACATATATGTAAACGTGAGACCCTAGGGTCATAAACCTTAAGACCCTTCCAGCTATGAAGAGTGTTTGATTCTACCATATCTGGGTCTTGAGAAGAAGATTTTTGAAATTTCAGTCAATTCGACCCTTTTTGGCCCCCCCCATCAGCCCCTGGGGGTCAATCAGGGCTCAAATGTGCATACTATCAAACTGCTACCTAATACTGATAATGCTAACCTAAATTCAATTACTTCCAAAGGAAATTAAACAAATGTTGGTCCAAAATGTGATTTCCCTATATAAACTATAGGAAAGTTTACCCCCTCCCCAGGGGGAAACGTGAGACCACAGGGTCAAGAAATTCACAATTTTGGTAAAGCACCTTAAGACTCTTCCATCTATGAAGAGTATTTGATTCTAGCATATCTGATCGCAATAGGTCACTTGAGACTTTGTCTCAGGTGACCTAATAAAAGGTTATAATTTCATCACGTCGTCTTTTCCGCATTGCGGCATCAGTGGGTTCCAAATTCGTGACATCGCGTCATTGTTGAGTCATTGTGACGTCACGTCACGTAAAATGGAGTGTAAGATAGAAATTTCCTACACCCCTTTCTTACCCTGGACAGCTCTATCTTACACCCCTTTCTTACCCTGGACAGCTCTATCTTAAACACAGGGAAATGAGAGAAAAGTCTTTCCTCATGTATAAATAAAATGTATTGTTCATGAATAACTTTATCAATAATGTAAATAATTATCACATAAAATAGAAGCAATCTACAGTATCGATACAGCATCAAATAATATCATAACAGAGAGCTTTTTCTTATAATTTTTTTCTTTTTTTGCAATTCTCTATTTGGCATTGACGGACCCACCACTTTGGAGTTTTGGTAGGGAGGAACAAATTCGTTTTTTCCCCCCATTAAAAAGAGAGATGCTTAATAATCAACAACTCCATGGTATTAAAGAAAGTGTTACTTTATTAACTTCTTTGATACAAGACACTAATACACTAACAAAGTACTACTCAGGTAAGTTAAAAACATAGCTGAAATTTCAGATGTTTTTTTTGTGCAACCTTTTTTGAGGTTGGCACATATAAAAGCCCCTGCTGTATATAGTCCATGCCTAACAAACTTACTTTTATCTTTGGCTTCACTGTGTAAAGAATTGAAGCTCAATTTACAGAGAATGATGTGATTATCTTTACACTCAGAGAGGTAGTTTATAATTAGATAGTAACTGCTCTACACATCCAATGATGCATATGTGATGTGGTAGATTTAAAGAGGAATACAGCATAGGAAGTAAATCTAGACATACAATGTATAGACTTACCTTAGAGTAAGCCAGACAGATTTCCCGTACTGGACAGCTGTCACAGGACGGTGACTTAGGGGTACAAACAGTGGCTCCTAATTCCATCATACCTTGATTGAAGTCACCCGGCCTCTCAGGATCCACAACACTGTTGGCATGGGACCTTCAGTATGAATAGGAAGACAAATAGTAAAACTTATTAATAATGCTGTCATGTGTTTAATACAAGATCACATAGTTAAGAACATATTTATTTTTTTCGTTTATTTGGCTTTTGTTTTAATATTTCATGTTCTGTTCAGAATATTTGGAGACTTCCTATCTAGGTATGTCTACAACTGGCCGTTTCTTTATTTACATGTCGGACACAAAGTTACTGCTGATATTCGGAGTTGGACCTGTGTTTTACAGTACACGGGTATTTGTTCTGCTCTATATTGCACAGCGAATTAGGCAGGTTACATGTTGCCAAGATTGGCACTTAATGTCAATTGTACTGTGTATTTCAGAATGACATTAAATACTATTTTTAGAAAAAACGCTGGAATTCAGCTACAAATGCCTGTAACATTACATGACAACTAATAGAATACTGACTTAACATTTCTGTGTTAAGAATTTATAGATTTAACATAGAGTAGACAACTAAATAAAAGTATGAATGTACAGTGCTCTACCAAATATACAACATATACAGTCAAAGTATTATGAGATATACAAAACAATGAATGGCCATGACTATATATGTAGTAGTGTACCAGGTCTGATTTCTGTTGGCAACACTCTACCATCCCAAGAGGTACTGGCGTACAACCTTTGGCAGCTGTAGATGACAGAGTATATGTGAACCGCCTTGGATAAATTGACACACTGATTGATTGACAAATCAGTGAAAACCTATAGTCCTGTCTGGTAGTACCACTGGGGGACTAATAAAGTACTAGTTTAGTACAATACTTACCATAGTTTTTCTTGTACTGCCTGACCCATGCTGTCTCCTCCCAGGATCCTCATCCGACATAACACTCGGATCACATTTCCATCCACAAGTCCTGTTACCTACAGGAAATATAACATGAATATTTACCAAGATGGAAAGTGTTGAACAACAGTTGTCTCGGTTTTAATTTAAGGTATTCTTCATAGAAGCTCAACTTGACCAGGCTTGTAGGTGTGCTACAGGGAGGTCTATGACATACTGTAGTATGAATTCAGTAGATCATTATTGTTACACACAATTTGTAGTTAGACCTAATTAGTTAAACAGGTAGTTACAAAATAGAAGAATAATAATCTGGGCATTGTACCAGTTTTGGGCAGTAGAAATTACAGTGACATAACATTTCCAATACTGAATTATACAGTTAAACCTCTTTATACCGTTACCGTGTGTCAAAAAATTTGGTATTATAAAGGTAATTTGTGAAATAGCAAAAGCGTAAGATAAAGGAATTTTCAATAAACCAATCACACTTCAATTAGCTGTGTCATAGGTCACTCTATGTAAAACCATAGGCAGCGCAAAACTGAAGTTTTGGCATAAAAAATGCAAAGGGGAAGTTTGTGGTAAGCAATTTGGCATTATGAAATGAGAGGCAATATACAGAGGTTTAATTTTACTATAAACATCAAAACCCTCAATTTTCCTTTTATATTGTTTAGGGACATTCAAATGTTGAAACACTGATAGTTACAGAGCACTACCATCTCATAATATACAGCAAAATGATTAACAGGTTTGGTTAAATAATGTAAGTAATCCTATAGATTCCTTTTGTGTTACCAGACTTACCTGATTGTAGGCTATTGAGGCTATGGCTCCAGCTGTGTATCGACCGACCCCTGGCAATAATTTCTGAAGGTCGTCTGCAGTTTTTGGCATCTCACCACCTAACTCCTCCACGACCTGAAAAAATTCAACCATATCCAAACTTAATAAGGTTCAGGCGAAAGTGGAACATAATACACCCGTCATACATTGAATGAGCAGTTGTCTGTATGGCTGTACATAAAGGGCCATAACTCTATAAATTACGGTTGGACAATGGTGGTTATCGAACTTGTCCATGCTATCATGACAATGAACCTTCCTATGAAGTTTCATGTTAATCCGTAGAAAAACTACTCGAGATATCGAGCAGACACTGCTTTGGCAAATGAAGAAAGGTCCATAACTCCATAAATTACAGCCAAATAATTATGGTTATTTAACTTGTCCGAGCTATTGTGGCAATGAACCTTCTTGTGAAGTTTGAAGTTAATCCATTGAAAACTACTGGAGATATAGAGCAGACACTGGTTGGGCAGTTAAATAAAGAGCCATAACTCTGTAAATTACTGTCCGATAATTGTGGTTGTCAAATTTATTCAAGCTATCATGGTAATGAACCTTTCTATGAAGTTTGAAGTTAATCCATTGAAAACTACTCCAGATATGAAGTGGACACTGTTTGGGTAAATGAGTAAAGGGCCATAACTCCATAAATTACGATCCGGTAATTACGGTTATCAAACTTGTCGGAGCTATCATGACAATGAACCTTAAATTCCTATGTAGTTTTAAGTTAATCCATTGAAAACTACACAAGATATCGAGTGGACACTGTTTCGGAAAGTGGATAAAGGGCCCTAACTCAGTCAGTTACTGTCGGATGTTGTTGGTTACAGCTTTTGAAATAGAGTTAAACTCCGCTAACTCAAATTTGTGGAGTCCACATCAATAGCTCCAGGAACAACATGGTATTCAACGAAACGAAGATTAGTTAGACACTATGTTTTGATCTGGTGGGAAGACAGAACACCTCAAGATCTGCTGGTGTGAAATGCAGATGTAACTACCTGTTTGACAAACATAAAGGAAAAATACGAAGGACCTTAGCAGTCGGGGATAAATCAAAGTTCGAGGAACCTAGGCTAATCAAGAAATGGCAGTGAGTGAGTAGTCAAAGGTTGTTTTGTATTTGAGAATCATTAATTCCGATTTCCCTCACATGAAGTCTTGAATAGCATATAAATCTTGCATTTTGTCAACAGTGCCTAGCTAAATGTAGCTTCAGCAACTTCATTCTCTGATAAAGAATGTCATTGCATCTGTCTATTTCTACATTTATATGTAAACATTCAAGTTTCCTTCTGTAGATTTGATGAAGTCACTAGACCATGCAATTAACATGCTTCTGAATATCAAAATCCTGTTGCATTGCGGCACAGGACCTCAGTTTATTTTGAATATTAACAAACACCTCCAAATCTTGATGTCTGGAGTTTTGCCCCACCTTTTTGGCCCCTTCATGGAGTCTGCGTCCTCTTGAGTAGTATCCTAGGCCTGACCATAACTCATTCACTTCCTGAAAAGAAATAGGGATTTTCTGGTTTCCAATAAGTCACAAAAATGACCCTCATAATTTCTAAATTTTCTTTTGTAAGTTTAATAAACTTTAATTCAACATTTATTTTTGAGATTTACCTATGATCTGATTAATTACAAGTAAAAATTTATGAATAATAACTTTGAAGAACACTTTTGTGATTTTTCAATTAATCTCATGTTCTAAAACGTTCAAAGATCGATAAACTGATTTCAGTTATTTACTGGTTTTGACTTAAATATTGTGAATAAATCATAATTCATGAAAACACATTTCAAACATTTTCATTTCTTAAAATGTTTTAGACAGTCAATGGAAACATTTGAGGTAGACATACAAACTTGTCCTATTTCCTAATCTTGTGGTTATTAAAGTTGTATAAAGAACAATCATAGTAGTATTTACATTAATTGGTGAAATGGTTAAAAATGAATTTTGGTAAAATTTGCAAAAATAACGATGACAATTACGGGTAGTGCCATGAAGTTCTTTGCGACATTTTATTTATCTAGTCTATACCCTTTCTTACCTCTAAGTCAACTTTGGCCAAGTCTTGGAGCTTCGGCCATTTCTCCATCCATTTGTTGTAATAGTTGATCACTGTGGCAACCTGAGTTTGCTGTAACATGACCTCTGACACCCAAACTGTTCAATACAGGAAATTTACCACAGCCATATAATTTACTGCAATGCTGCAGATAAGCTATTCATCATAATTTTAACACTTGGGCTTACAGGAACAGTTCTCTAAGTTTTATTCACATGAAAAGATAAGGTTAGTTTTATCTAATGTACATAAGAAGAGGTTTATTTTGTCCAATATATCTATGGTATATATGTAACGTTGGAAAATAAATTTCAAATCATTTGAAAGTTAGTAAATGTACATGAAACACAAAATTAAGTACTTCCCAATCACTTGTGGTTCATCTATTGAGCCCCGCCCCTCAGCACCCAGGAGGACAACACCCTCAGTTTATAAACTAGAATATGTCTGTAAGACATAAATGCCCCCGCTGCCATGTGAAATTGGTTTCAGTGTTCTATAAAAAGTTACATCCACTTTGATCTTGATACCCTGAAACATGCACACACACAAGGTACTACACTTAAAGTTGATTTTAATATTCATATGTTTTTTCTGTATGTTATTTGCCATCTCCATAACATTTTGAATGAAGTTGCTAAATGTTTAAATTGAATCAGTGGATGATTTTCTATATATTGCAACAGTGACCTTGGCCTTGACCTTGGAACCCTGAAATACAACAATGTCCGAAGTATACTCATACTTAACCTTTGCATAAAGTTTGAATGACCAAAATCCATGAAAGAATGAAGTTGCTAAGTGTTTAAATTGAATCAGGAAGATTTTCTATATATAGCAAGTGTGACATTGGCCTTGACCTTGGATCCCTGAAATACAACGATGTCCGAAGTATACTCATACTTGACCTTTGTATAAAGTTTGACCAAAATCTGTCAAAGAATGAAGTTGCTAAGTGTTTACATTGAATCGGGACGGGACGGACATGGGTAACACTAAATGCCCCCCCCCCCCCCCATTTTATGGCGGGGGCATAACAAAGTTAAGTCCCTTTGCCCAGGGTGCTCTAGGCAAAATTTTGATAAAACCCCTCCAATGGTAACAGAAGAAGTAGGATTTTAAAGATTTAAACCTCAAATTCCCATATTGGTCACCGCCCCTCTCAACCAAGAAGGGCCACACCCTCCATTTCTACAAAATTGAATCCCCTGTGCCCCAGGATGCTCCAGGCAAAATTAGGCAGAAATCCCTCCAATGGTACGAAAGAAGGATTTAAAATAATTAATCCTCAAATTTCTCTATTGGGTCTCGACCCTCTGCATCCAGATGGGCCACACCTTCCGTTTATACAAAATTGAGTCCCCCTTTGTCCAAGAATGCTCCAGGAAAAATTTAGATAAAACTCCTCCAATGAAACAGAAGAAGGATTTTAGATTGGGCCCCGCCTAGACAGGTGCATGACTTGAACTTTGACACTCGCTGTAATTTTCAAGTACAGGCCTCTGTAGGTTCACTCCTTAACATTTCACATGTTCTCTTATTTCACTCCATTTGTGATGAGCCGAGCAGGCCTGTGTTTAAAGATCATGTATTTAACATGTAGTTAACATGTTAATGCTAGCTTGGGACCGTGGTGAAAATCAAACAATAGCACCGATAAGGTGGACATGAAAAGAGTACTCGTATGTGATGGTTAAAATAGATCTGGTGGAATCCATTTAGTCAAAATGTTTCAGCCTATTAAAATGTAACAGCAACTATTCAAGCCGCTGATAACAATATTCATCTAGTCTGGTTACCAGATGGTCTAGTAGAATGGAAGTTGAGAAGTTAATTACAAGGACACAGATGTCGCTACTGTAGTTTCTACAATTCGTTAAGCAAATTAAACTTGGATCCCCTAGACATCTGTGTTACCCAAGGTATGTGTCAACAAGAGGCCCAGAGGGCCTGTATCGCTAACCTTGAAATGTTAGCAAAATTGAAGTTGAAATAGCCAGATATTGCTGTACATGTATTACATGGCAAGTCAGGGATTATATTTATATGTAATTAGACAAAATCCTGTCATTCCTACAGGAAATGGAGGATTTCGAAGAATTTGCTTTGTTTCCACAATTAGGCCCCACCCCTCTGCCCCCAGGGCGGTCAGACCCACCGTTGATACAAAATTAGTTTTCCTTCAACCAAGGATACTTTAGACCAAATATGGACATAATCCTGTCATTCCTACAGAAAAAGAAGGATTTTAAAGCTATTTTTTCTATTTTCCCTATTTGGCCCCGCCCCTCTGCCCCAGGGGGTTAAAACCCACAGTTTTTTCAAAATTGGTTCCCCTTCACCTAAGGGTGCTTCATCCCAAATTTGGACAAAATCCTCTCATTCCTAAAAAGGAAAAGAAGTGTTTTGAAGAATTTGCTATGTTTCCACTATTGGGTCCCACCCCTCTGCCCCAGGGGGTCGGACCCAACGTTTATACAAAATATAGTTCCCTTCACCAAAGAATGCTTTAGACCAAATATGGACAAAATCCTGTCAATCCTTCAGAAGAAGAAGAATTCTAAAGAATTTGCTAAATACCTTCATCTCAACGGAAAAAAGGATATTAAAGCTATTCCTCTATATCCATTATTGGGCCCGCCTCTCTGCCCCCAAGGGGGTCAGGCCAACTGTTTATACAATGTTGGTTCCCCTTCACCAAAGGGTGTTTCATACCTAATTTGGACAAAATCCTGTCGTTCCTACAGAAAGGGAAGGATTTTGAAGAATTTGCTCTATTTCCCCTATTGAGCCCTGCCACTATGCCCCTTTGTTTATACAAAGTTGAGTCCCCTTGGCCCAAGGATGCTCCAGACTAAATAAGGATAAAATCTCTTAATCCCTACAGTAGAAGAAGGATTTTAAAGGTTTTACTTCTATTCCCCCTATTTGGCCCCGCCCCTCTGCCTCCAGGGGGGCAACATCCACCGGTTATACAAAATTGTGTCCCCTTGGGCCAAGGATGCTCCAGACTAAATTAGGATAAAATCCCTTAATCCCTACAACTAGATTAGAGGCGAATAAGTAGTGGGACAACTTCATAAAAGGTGGCTGAGTAGTGAAACACAAGATTTGTGGTTAATGGATACTGGGACAACCTGATAAGTGGTGGCTGGGCAGTGGGACAACAAGATTAGTGGTGGCTTGGTAGTGGGACAACTAGATTAGTGGAGGCTTGGTAGTGGGACAACTTGATTAGTAGTGGCTGGGTGTAGTTGGACAACTAGATTAGTGGTGGCTTGGTAGTGGGACAAATAGATTAGTGGTGGCTTGGTAGTGGGACAAATAGATTAGTGGTGGCTTGGTAGTGGGACAACTAGATTAGTTGTGGCTTGGTAGTTTGACAACTAGATTAGTGGTGGCATGGTTGTGGGACAACTAGATTAGTTGTGGCTTGGTAGTGGGACAACTTGATTAGTGGAGGCTTGGTAGTGGGACAACTAGATTAGTGGTGGCTGGGTAGTGGGACAAATAGATTAGTGGTGGCTTGGTAGTGGGACAACTAGATTAGTAGTGGCTGGGTGTAGTTGGACAACTAGATTAGTGGTGGCTTGGTAGTGGGACAACTAGATTAGTTGTGGCTTGGTAGTGGGACACCTTGATTAGTGGAGGCTTGGTAGTGGGACAACTAGATTAGTGGTGGCTGGCTAGTGGGACAAATAGATTAGTGGTGGCTTGGTAGTGGGACAACTAGATTATTGGTGGCTGGGTAGTGGGACAAATAGATTAGTGGTGGTATGGTAGTGGGACAAATAGATTAGTGGTGGCTGGGTGTAGTTGGACAACTGGATTAGTGGTTGCTGGGTAGTGGGACAAATAGATTAGTGGTGGTTTGGTAGTGGGACAAATAGATTAGTCGTGGCTGGGTGTAGTGGGACAACTGGATTAGTGGTTGCTGGGTAGTGGGACAAATAGATTAGTGGTGGTATGGTAGTGGGACAAATAGATTAGTGGTGGCTGGGGGTAGTTGGACAACTGGAGTAGTGGTTGCTGGGTAGTGGGACAAATAGATTAGTGGTGGTTTGGTAGTGAGACAAATAGATTAGTGGTGGCTGGGTGTAGTTGGACCACTGGATTAGTGGTTGCTGGGTAGTGGGACAAATAGATTAGTGGTGGTATGGTAGTGGGACAAATAGATTAGTGGTGGCTGGGTAGTGGGACAACTAGATTAGGGGTGGTTTGGTAGTGGGACAACTAGATTAGTGGTTTCTGGGTAGTGGGACAACTAGATTAGTGGTGGCTTGGTAGTGGAACAAAAAGATTAGTGGTGGCTTGGTAAAGTGGGACAACTGGATTAGTGGTTGCTTGGTAGTGGGACAAATAGATTAGTGGTGGTTTGGTAGTGGGCAACTAGATTAGTGGTGGCTGGGTAGTGGGACAACTAGATTAGGGGTGGTTTGGTAGTGGGACAACTAGATTAGTGGTGGCTGGGTAGTGGGACAAATAGATTAGTGGTGGCTGGGTGTAGTTGGACAACTGGATTAGTGGTTGCTGGGTAGTGGGACAAATAGAATAGTGGTGGTTTGGTAGTGGGACAAATAGATTAGTGGTGGCTTGGTAGTGGGACAACAAGATTAGTGGTGGCTGGGTATAGTGGGACAACTAGATTAGTGGTGGGTTGGTAGTGGGACAACTAGATTAGTGGTTGCTGGGTAGTGGGACAACTAGATTAGTGGTGGCTTGGTAGTGGGACAACTAGATTAGTTGTGGCTTGGTAGTTTGACAACTAGATTAGTGGTGGCTGGGTATAGTGGGACAAATAGATTAGTGGTGGCTTGGTAGTGGGACAACTAGATTAGTGGTGGCTGAGTACTGGGACAACCATGTTGGTGCATGTGGTAGCTGGAGTGAATAAACAACACTTGACAAATATTTGCTCTTCACATGTTCAACCCAGTTTTATCCTTCATAATGGAAATAGACTATTTCTATTTTGATGGGTTAATTGATTACCGACTCTTATAGTAGGGTTTTCACTATCATGATAAATTTACCCTCATTACAGAGACAAAAATGGCTTACATTTGACAATTATTTCATTAGTCAGAATCAAACAATGTGTGGAATTACTTACCAGCATAGGCACGTTGGTTTATATCTGGGTTGAGAGCCTGTTAGACAGAAACAAGTACCCAATTCAGTAATTACATAAAATATGTATGACCATTTTTATAACCCATCTATGCTACAGAAAAAGTGAATATTTCAATATAACAATTGATTCATGCATCTAACTGACCAATCAGAACTTTTGACTGACCATAAACTTCTTAATCTGGATTTAAGGTAGCGATCAGATGACTTCTGAGACTCAAACAAGTAGGTTTCTTCTTGACTTGCATTGGGGACATTGAGTATTTCTCCTAGATACAATAAGGCCAAATACAAATATAGCTGTGTTTCCTGTTTCCCCGACAGACCCTGTTTTTTCATGCCGACCCTAATACTTTTTTTGTTTTTGTTTACAGTCACTGTTATGGATTTATAAGCCGTTTTTATTTATTTATATAAATTGTTCAGAGTGTACACATAATTTGCTATGCATTTTTATCAGCTTTGGCTCTGGTCAGTGTCATAGCTTTATTTGAAGATAGTAGCTGAGGAGCCGTATCTAATTGTGCTGATATAGGCTGGGATCTGTAGATTATAGGGTGACCCTCTGGTCTAGGTCGGGGGAGTCCAGTCTGTGATGTCAGTGTTTGTGCCTCCAGCTGGTGCTGACCGCTGGAGTCAAATTTACCAGTTTAACCTAGTCGTAGAGGGGTACAATTTTAGCAGGATTTCAGCAGCATCAACAATTTTAATGTATCAGGATTTTGCTAAGGGACAGATAGTAAGGTGGTTCAGCTTAGGGAGTCAAAGAAGGAGAAGAGAGTTGGGTTGGGGAGTTGAGTTAAGGAGTCTTGAGGAAGGAGGTTGAGCTACCGAGACCAAGTTGAGAGGTCTAGAGATATAGAGGATAGTAAGAAAGTAAGGGTTAAATAGAGAATTAGGAGTTAGTAATAATGGTAGTTTTAACTGTATAGTTTGTAGATCTGTGTAGTCTTGCAGTTTATAGTTGGAGGAAAGTTTGGGGGGGGGGGGGGGGGGGGGGGGGGGGGAGAGATTGAGTTCACAAGGGTGAAGAATGTTTATTTTATGACAGATTAAAAAAGTTGTGTTGTAAATATATGTATAGTGTAAATATAAATGTACTTATTTTGTTGTTCAATTAATTTGAACTGGTGGCAGTGGAAATTGAGAACAGAAAGTATCAGTAATACAAAAGAATGTAACACTGGTGACCATCAGTGGACTTTGGATTACTAAAAGCTATCGTGTCCAGCAGTAGGGATAACACTGGTGGCAGCACTACTGTTAATTACTTTGGTTATTCCATAAACATTTAGGGGGGTCAAATAATAATTTACTTCACTGTGTTATTTGGGCCTGCTCAACACAATAACTAGGAATGCAGGGATTTTTATATTTGTGTTTATTTGGTGCCATTCATACTTTATTAAAACAATAACATATTTTTAACATTCAAATAGGTGATCAGGTGATTTCCTTCACCATAAAAAAGTCAAAAAATTAAATAAAATGTTTTTCCTACCTACATGTACCTACCCTATTTTTTTTGGAGCCCAAACAGGAAACACACATATATTTTTATTTGGCCTAACTAGTTCATGCTACATCTACATGTATTATCTGGTTATTTTTGGACCTACTGGTGCAAGACTGAATTTGTGTGAAATATTTAAAGGGACATCATGGCGAAGCATATAAGTGAGTCCCCTTATGAAAAATAACTGTCGGATTCGGCTAATATATATTCATAACAAGAGGCCCAATGGGCCTGAATCGCTCTCCTGGTATTAATCTCACACTTGTAATCTTAAAAGTGGACTAAAATACAGCTACAGGCAGAATATCAGTGTTTGATTCATAAGAACCTTTTAAAAGATTTAAATATATGACGCCTGTGACCTTGAATGTCGAACAAGAACATTAGGCTGAACAGAGTTTATAGTCTTCCAACCCAGCATGCTTTTGGCAAAATATCATAACCCTGGACCTATTGGTTATACAGAACAAGTCGTTTAAAGATTTAAACATATATTGACCACTGTGACCTTGAATATGGGCGAAGGTCATTCATTTTGACAAAATTGGTAGCCATTCATCCCAGCCTGTTAATGACCAAATATCATCACCCTTGGCCTTTAGCTAATTTAGAAGAAGTCGTTTAAAGGTTTTAAACATATTTGACCCCTGTGACCTTGAATATATGTAAAGGTCATTCATTTGAACAAACTTGATATACCTTCATCCCAGCATGCTACTGGCCAAATATCATTATCCTAAGCCTCTTGGTTATTCAGAAGAAGTTGTTTAAAGGTTTTAAACATATTTGACCCCTGTGACCTTGAATATAAGTAAAGGTCATTCATTTGAACAAACTTGGTAGCCCTTCATTCTAGCATGTTACTGGCCAAATATCATTAGCCTTGGCCTCTTAGTTATTCAGAAGAAGTTGTTTAAAGTTTTTAACATATTTGACCCCTGTGGCCTTGAAAATAGGTGAAGGTCATTTATTTGAACAAACTCGGTAGCCCTTCATCCTAGTTTGCTTCTGGCCAAATATCATTACCCTAGGCTTTTTGGTAATTAAGAAGAAGTTGTTTAAAGTAAAATATTGACACCAGACGCCATACGACGGAAGGATGGACGACGGATGCTGCACCATAGCATAATGAATTATTTTTATTTTTATTATCAGGATTTCTACCTGTCTGACCAAAGTTTTGTTCAAGGGTTTCTCTCTACTAGCGCATGCGCATAGCACATCATTTCATTGTTAACAAAATGACTGGCCGTGGGAAGTTAGTGAGCGAAAATCATTACCGTGTCAGCTTCGAAGCGAAAGGTTGCCAAATGGTCAAAAGATAGCGCAAGGTTTACGTCATGGAAGCATTATTGCAGGTGGGAAGTATTCAAAGGAGAAAACTGCCCTAGCAGTTAGTACAGTGCATGTATTCTTCTGGAAAGCCGGTATAAGGCTAAAATGCTAAAAATATATTAACCTCGCTAGTATCTTTGTCTAAGTTGGGACATATATGAATTTATCTTGTTATGTTAATGGGCATGTATCGGAGAGAGTTTACTCTGCGTCTCTATATACAGTTGTTTATGCGAAAGGAAGGGAAAAATGACTGGTTAGTTTGATTTTGCTATGGGGCCCTCCAAGGGATGTGGGTGTGCTACAGATAACTATGGCTCCTGTTTCGGACAAGAGGAATTGATTAAAGAAAAGTTGTATCAACATAACAAAAGGGTCCATTGACAAGAATGTTTTAATCTCTGTAAAGTATTGAAAACATACAATTATCAAGTATCTCAACACGTTCCATATCTGACACATACTCTACATGTACACGTAGTGGTTTTGCCAGAAATGTTTATTGTGTACGATGGCTAATATGACTTACTAAGTGTTAATGTATGAAGACAGTGAAAGTGGGAAAGAGAGTATACATGAATTGAATATATATATATATATATGCATGGTCTAGAAAAATGTGGCAAAAGACATAGAGTTGTAATAAAAAAAATCACAAACATTTCTCTCTTTTTTATACTTGTCAATGCACTTTATGAAAACATTTGATAAAAGGATATTCATCTCGCGAGTATTTCTCTTTACAAAAAGGTTGTCCCGTGGTTTAGGGAAGGTGTTCAGCCTCATATTCATTTGTACCGGTCACATTCCGGACAATAGATATTTCCTGGTGTCTATAAATAATGCTGAGATGCCAACAAATATTTCTACATTTAAATTTTGAATATTGCCATGTGTATAATTAACTTCTGATGATGAATAATTACTGCTAAGAGGATTCAATAAGTTTCAACATGGACTTGAAAATCATATTATTTGGTTTCGTAGTGCAGTAAGAAGTTGCAGTTGCCTGACAGCCCCTCACTTGGGGCCCCTTTGGAAACTTTGCATTTCAGTAAGACCACCCGTGTTAACTGCCTTGCTTCAAACCCGTCACATGACGTTATTGGGACTATTATTTTTAACAGGGCTTTCCCGAACAATTCTAGTGGTCAAACTTGACATTTGGAATGAACTATTAATAAGGGGATAACAAGGTTACATAAGTGGAAGCCTGCATGCAACACATACATTCATTAAAAAAAATATGGCTCTTCACGTGATGTCCCTTTAAGACATCACAGTGAATGGTTTTGTTTAGTTGACTGACCTGTTTTCTCCATGGGAGATCACGTTTCTTTTCATCATACCACTCAAGCAGCAAGGATCTGAACTTAACCTTTTCAGCCTCAGAGAAATTGTGAATAGATTGGGAACCATTTCCAATATTGCTTTTCTTTTCTACAAATTTGAACATGAAATATCATCAGTAAACATGGAGGTTTTCAAAAACATTCGATCATAATCAGATTTAAGGCAAGATAAAAAAAATAGTAATGTAATCAACATACCTATATTTGGAATGTTATATTTTGTTCAAATAACTTGTTTATCTATATATATTGATTTTCACACTAACTGTCACAGCAATTTTGCATAATACAACCTAAGTCTCACGGTTACAGGAAGGTAGCATCTATAACCTTACACTTGTAAGTGTCTTATACACACCAGTGAGGTAGCATCTATAACCTTACACTTGTAAGTGTCTGGTACACACCAGTAAGGTAGCATCTATAACCTTACACTTGTAAGTGTCTGGTACACACCAGTAAGGTAGCATCTATAACCTTACACTTGTAAGTGTCTGGTACACACCAGTAAGGTAGCATCTATAACCTTACACTTGTAAGTGTCTGGTACACACCAGTAAGGTAGCATCTATAACCTTACACTTGTAAGTGTCTGGTACACACCAGTAAGGTAGCATCTATAACCTTACACTTGTAAGTGTCTGGTACACACCAGTAAGGTAGCATCTATAACCTTACACTTGTAAGTGTCTGGTACACACCAGTAAGGTAGCATCTATAACCTTACACTTGTAAGTGTCTGGTACACACCAGTAAGGTAGCATCTATAACCTTACACTTGTAAGTGTCTGGTACACACCAGTAAGGTAGCATCTATAACCTTACACTTGTAAGTGTCTGGTACACACCAGTAAGGTAGCATCTATAACCTTACACTTGTAAGTGTCTGGTACACACCAGTAAGGTAGCATCTATAACCTTACACTTGTAAGTGTCTGGTACACACCAGTAAGGTAGCATCTATAACCTTACACTTGTAAGTGTCTGGTACACACCAGTAAGGTAGCATCTATAACCTTACACTTGTAAGTGTCTGGTACACACCAGTAAGGTAGCATCTATAACCTTACACTTGTAAGTGTCTGGTACACACCAGTAAGGTAGCATCTATAACCTTACACTTGTAAGTGTCTGGTACACACCAGTAAGGTAGCATCTATAACCTTACACTTGTAAGTGTCTGGTACACACCAGTAAGGTAGCATCTATAACCTTACACTTGTAAGTGTCTGGTACACACCAGTAAGGTAGCATCTATAACCTTACACTTGTAAGTGTCTGGTACACACCAGTAAGGTAGCATCTATAACCTTACACTTGTAAGTGTCTGGTACACACCAGTAAGGTAGCATCTATAACCTTACACTTGTAAGTGTCTGGTACACACCAGTAAGGTAGCATCTATAACCTTACACTTGTAAGTGTCTGGTACACACCAGTAAGGTAGCATCTATAACCTTACACTTGTAAGTGTCTGGTACACACCAGTAAGGTAGCATCTATAACCTTACACTTGTAAGTGTCTGGTACACACCAGTAAGGTAGCATCTATAACCTTACACTTGTAAGTGTCTGGTACACACCAGTAAGGTAGCATCTATAACCTTACACTTGTAAGTGTCTGGTACACACCAGTAAGGTAGCATCTATAACCTTACACTTGTAAGTGTCTGGTACACACCAGTAAGGTAGCATCTATAACCTTACACTTGTAAGTGTCTGGTACACACCAGTAAGGTAGCATCTATAACCTTACACTTGTAAGTGTCTGGTACACACCAGTAAGGTAGCATCTATAACCTTACACTTGTAAGTGTCTGGTACACACCAGTAAGGTAGCATCTATAACCTTACACTTGTAAGTGTCTGGTACACACCAGTAAGGTAGCATCTATAACCTTACACTTGTAAGTGTCTGGTACACACCAGTAAGGTAGCATCTATAACCTTACACTTGTAAGTGTCTGGTACACACCAGTAAGGTAGCATCTATAACCTTACACTTGTAAGTGTCTGGTACACACCAGTAAGGTAGCATCTATAACCTTACACTTGTAAGTGTCTGGTACACACCAGTAAGGTAGCATCTATAACCTTACACTTGTAAGTGTCTGGTACACACCAGTAAGGTAGCATCTATAACCTTACACTTGTAAGTGTCTGGTACACACCAGTAAGGTAGCAATAACCTTACACTTGTAAGTGTACACACCACTAAGGGAGCATCTATAACCTTACACTTGTAAGTGTCTTGTACACACCAGTAAGGTAGCATCTATAACCTTACACTTGTAAGTGTCTGGTACACACCAGTAAGGTAGTATCTATAACCTTACACTTGTAAGTATCTGGTACACACCAGTAAGGTAGCATCTATAACCTTACACTTGTAAGTGTACACACCAGTAAGGTAGCATCTATAACCTTACATTTGTAAGTGTCTGGTACACACCAGTAAGGTAGCATACATCATTAAGTCTAATAGTTCAGCATCAACAGTAATTAAAGTCCACAGTAATGTTACTGAAAAAACATTAATAAACATTCAATATATGTAGTGGAACTGGACCTGGTCGATCGTTGGGGACCAGATAGCTCAATTGGTAGAGCGTCCGTCGACCACCCAATCCAAAAACATACCATCCTTTGAGAAAGACAATGGAGAAGAGAGGATGATATACTGTCTTAATGACACTCTATCAGCTTTATCCGGAAGCAAAGGTGAAGAAACCAATGTCAAACAAGTATAGGATTATTGTTTTAGCAATTTTAACAATTTTAACAATAACATCACCAACAAAACAAACCTCAAGATATTTTATAGCAACGTAGACACTTTGACAACCAACAAAAAGATATTACTAGAAGAACATATCTGCTCTCACTCGCCAGACATCATATGCTTAACCGACGTCCTACCAAAATATGCATGTACCGAAACAGCCCTACAAGTGTACACACTAAATCAGTATGATTTGTTTTTTGGCCCAACCAACAATAGAGGGGTAGCAATATACTGTAAAAAAGGTATCACTACCAATGAAGTGAAATTACAGGTGAACTGCTCAGAATATGTGGCATGTACTATCAAACTTAAAGGAAACGACACCTTACTACTATGCTGTATCTATAGAAGTCCAAACAGTACAGAAACCAACAACAAACAAGAGGCCCATGGGCCTTAACGGTCACCTGATATATTTATACAGAGAGTTGATTTTGTTTTTAACATGTACAGAAATATTATTCAAAGTTACAAAAAACAATAAAACCACCTTATTCAATATCTAGCATACAGATATTAGACTAAAAAGTATTTCAAACTAGCACCTCTGATTCTAAACAAGGAAAATGAAGAAATTTTAGCACACTGACTCCTTTGCGCCCCACCCTACAGCCCTTGGGGGTAGGGCTGGCTCAAAATTTTCAAAGTATCAAACTGTCAACTCAAGGTTATAATTCCAATCGAGTTATTAACATGTAATATTCAAAGTATCATTTGCCATTATAAACCATAATAAATTTTGCCGCCCCCCCCTTCCTTTCCCAGGGGGAAACATGATACCCTAGGGTCATGAAATTCACAATTTTGGTAAAGCACCTTAAGACCCTTCCTTCTATGAAGAGTATTTGATTCTACCATATCTGGGTCTTGAGAAGAAGATTTTTGAAATTTCAGTCAATTCAACCCTTTTTGGCCCCACCTATCAGCCCCGGGGGTCAGTCAGGGCTGATATGTGCATACTATCAAACTGCTACCTAATACTGATAATGCTAACCGAAATTGAATTACTTCCAATGGAAATTAAACAAATGTTGGTCCAAAATGTGATTTCCCTATATAAACTATAGTAAAGTTTACCCCCTCCCCAGGGGAAAACGTGAGACCCCAGGGTCAAGAAATTCACAATTTTGGTAAAGCACCTTAAGACCCTTCCATCTATGAAGAGTATTTGATTCTACCATATCTGGGTCTTGAGAAGAAGATTTTTGAAATTTTAGTCAATTTGACCCTTTTTGGCCCCGCCCCTCAGGCCCCTGGGGGCTTGAGACTAAACCGGCAACTGTTTTTGTTGACCTTTGTCCATGGAAGGTTCCTGCAAAATTTCATTGAAATTGGTTCAGTGGTTTTGGAGAAGAAGTCGAAAATGTAAATTGTTTACGGACGCACGACGGACGACGACGGACAAAAGGCAATCGCAATAGGTCACTTGAGACTTTGTCTCAGGTGACCTAAAAAGTCAATGAAGTTCTGCTTAATATTGGAAACCATCATGCCACACACATTCTGGTAGTTGCATGGTGACTTCAACTACAAAGAAATCGATTGGGAGAACAAGACTACTACAATAGGCGACAACCACCCAGCCAGCAAGTTTTTAGAAACTACCATGGACAACTATTGGTACCAACATGTTAATGAGCCTACAAGATATCGTGACAAGCAAACCCCATCGACTCTAGACTTAATATTCACTAACGAAGAGAATATGGTTAACAACCTGCAGTACAAGGAGAGTCTCGGAAAAAGTGACCATGTTATTTTAACATTTGATTATGTTTGTTACCTAAACATCCCAAGCGGACAGACAACAAAAACTAATAGGAAGAACTTTTACAAAGGTGATTATCCCACTATCAAGAATGAAATCCTGAAGCTTGACCTGACAGACATTGAACATAAACAGGATGTGAACTAGTTTTCAACGATGCCACATCAGCAAATGAGCAGCAAATCAGAGTTCAGAAGGTCCCGGGTTCATGCATTTTTCCTCTCCTGTTACAGTGGCCCCCTGTAACCAACCCTTGTTTCAAGCTCTTGGTGTATGCTTGGCAAGGGGATACCTGAACCTGGATTGTAAATGTCATAAGTTGTACGTGTCTTTGGGGGCGAAGACTTATAAATAGAAGGGAGGAATGTAGATCTAGACGAACTGGACTGGGTTGATCTTCGGCGACCAGATAGCTCAATTGGTAGAGCGTCCGGCTAGCGTTCGGATGGTCCCGGGTTCAAACCCTGGTCTGGTCGTGTATTTTCCCTCTCCCGTTACATAACCAATGATAGGGTTCCTGCTTTATAATCAAATAGGTCTGGGAATCGATTTCAACGGCATACATTTTTTGTAAAAGAGAAAATTACTATAAATTTATTTCTGATACTGACAGTGACCTTACGTGAACTCACCTAGCTAGCTGACTTTGTGCTACAAAGTATGACTATATTTTATCAGTATATGTAGTACTTAATGTACACATTTTACAGCATCCGAATTCAATAAAATAAATGAATCAAAATGCATGACAGTTATACAGCGATATTGGACATTCATACATTAACCAATTACATCGAAATCAAATTTCTATTTTCTCACCAATTGGGGAGGCTTTCAGCTTTCTTTTAGACATCTTCAGCATTGATTTCATAACTCATAACCGCGGGAAATAGGGACCATTCGTTACTTTTTTTTTATATTTACCAGTAAAAAATGACTTCTAACCAATCAATGTTCCAATATTTCATATCATAAATATAAAACAATATAAAACATAGATATTTTATGGTAGCTAAATTAAATAAATAGGTAAAGCCCAAGAAACCATCACACTTTAAATAATTTCTGTAATAATGTATGCTCTTTGCTACTTTTTGTAACTCTTAATACAGGAGAGTGATGTAAACAAAGATGTCTTCATAATCTCCTGTCATTGTGAGGGTCACCGTTATTTACAAAGATTTAATCCAATGCAGGCAATTTGAATATACAGTCAGGTGAAAAATTATCAATTATTGATGCAGGTGTACTTATGGCTACAAAATCTGTTTTCAAAATACACGAACACGTTAAATTGTGTGTACTTGTTCCTGTCACCAGCGCTGGTCACAGGGACATGGAAAGATCGCAGGGGCATGGATCGCTTTACTCGTAATATTGAAAAATAGTGGTCTCCTCTACTAAAAGACAAAGACCATTATTTTTAGCTCACCTGGTCCGAAGGGCCAAGTGGGCTTATGGCATGGTGCGGCGTCCGTCGTCAACTTTTTACTTTAAACAACTTCTTCTCAGTAACCAAATGGCCTAGGGTGATGATATTTGACCAGGACATGCTTGGATGAAGGGCTACCATTTTTTGTCAAATAAATGACCTTCATCAATTTTCAAGGTCACAGGGGTCAAATATGCTAAAATCTTTAAAGAACTTCTTTTGAATAACCAAGAGGCCTAGGATGATGATATTTGGCCAGTAATATGCTTGGATGAAGGGCTTCCAAGTTTGTTCAAATAAATGACCTTGCCCTATATTCAAGGTCACAGGGTCAAATATGTTTAAAACCTTTAAACAACTTCTTCTGAAAAACCAAGAGGCCTAGGGTGATAATATTTGGCCAGTAACATGTTGGGATGAAGGGCTGCCAGGATTTTTCTAATAAATGACCTTGACTTATATTCAAGGTCACAGGGGTCAAATATGTTAAAAACATTTAAACAATTTCTTCTGAATAACCAAGAGGCCTAGGGTGATGATATTTGGGCAGTAATATGCTGGGAGGAAGGGCTACCAAATTTGTTCAAATAAATGACCTTGACTTATATTCAAGGTTACAGAGGGCAAATTTGTTTTGTACTTTTAAACAACTTCTGATGAATAACCAATAGGCCTAGGGTGATGATATTTGGCTAATAGCATGCTGGGATGAAGGGCTATAAAGTTTGTTCAAATGAATGACCTTCATCTTTTTTCAAGGTCACAGGGTCAAATATGTTCTAAACCTTTAAACAACTTCTTCTGAATAACCAAGAGACCTAGGATAATGCCAGTAACATGCTGGGATGAAAGACTACCAATATTTTAAGGTCACAAGGGTCAAATATGTTTAAAACCATTGAATGACTTCTTCTTAATAACCAAAAGGCCAAGGGTGATGATATTTGGCCATTAAAATGCTAGGATGAAGGACTACCAAGTGAATGACCTTCGCCCATATTCAAGGTCACAGTGGTCAATATATGCTTAAATCTTTAAATGATTTGTTCTGTATAATCAAAAGGTCCAGGGTAATGATATTGTTCCAGAAACATGCTGGGTTGGAAGACTATAAACTCTGTTCAACCTAATATTATAATGTCCTTGTTCGACATTCAAGGTCACAGGTGTCATATGTTTACATCTTTTAATAGGTTCTTATGAATGAAACACTGATATTTTGCCTGTAGCTGTATTTTAGTCTACTTTTAAGATTACAAGTGTGAGATTAATACCATGTGAGCGATGCAGGCCCATTGGGCCTCTTGTTTAATATTACAAGTAAAGCGATCCATGCCCCTGGCAGAAAGATGACTCCTTTTACACTTAGTAAGAAAAACATTAAGATCTTAGTTGCAATTAAGGTGGGAAGAACCCATGTCATTTTAATCAGTATTTTATTCAATAATCAAACACAGTTTTAACATACATACAATTTCATAAGTATGGGGAAACATGTCTAAAACCTTTTCCAAATTCTGCTCTTTTCTAATATTCCACAGGTTGGGCACAACGGCGCATATACCCACTGAAATGGGGAATGGTTCCAGGTTGTTTCCCTCGAAATCCTGTTCGCACTAGGTTGTTTCGCGCTAGGTTGTTTTGCGCTAGGTTGTTTCGCACTAGGTTGTTTCGCGCTAGGTTGTTTCGCGCTAGGTTGTTTTGCGCTAGGTTGTTTTGCGCTAGGTTGTTTGTGCTAGGTTGTTTCGCACTAGGTTGTTTTGCGCTAGGTTGTTTCGCGCTAGGTTGTTTCGCGCTAGGTTGTTTCGCGCTAGGTTGTTTTGCGCTAGGTTGTTTCGCGCTAGGTTGTTTCGCGCTAGGTTGTTTCGCGCTAGGTTGTTTTGCGCTAGGTTGTTTTGCGCTAGGTTGTTTCTGCTAGGTTGTTTCGCACTAGGTTGTTTTGCGCTAGGTTGTTTCACGCTAGGTTGTTTCGCGCTAGGTTGTTTCGCGCTAGGTTGTTTCGCGCTAGGTTGTTTCGCGCTAGGTTGTTTCGCGCTAGGTTGTTTTGCGCTAGGTTGTTTCGCGCTAGGTTGTTTCGCACTAGGTTGTTTTGCGCTAGGTTGTTTTGCGCTAGGTTGTTTCGCGCTAGGTTGTTTCGCCCTAAAACAAAAATAGTTACCATAGGGAATAAAGTGAAATTAAAACACACAAAGTTCTTTTAAACATTATGAACAAAAAAGGGCATCATTATTTCAACATAATCCAATAAAAAATACAATGAAGTACATTTGTGCACAAAAATATGTAAGTTCAGTCGTCTAAATGTTTGTGAAAATCACAAACTGTATCACTGACTTTGTTTTCCATTGACTTCAGTGTGGAGTCAATGAGGCCATCCAGTGCAAATGTGACAGGTAAACATGATTTTTTCTGTGTGCTTTTTATAGCTACTCTACAACACACTATAAGCAATGGCGGTGATACAACTTGTGATTTTATTAAAAGAATGACGCCCTTATTTGTTCATAATATTTAAAAGAACTTTGTGTGTTTTATTTCACTTTATTCCCCATTTCAGTAATAAAATTGTTACTCAAATTGGTAACTGTTACCCAAATGCAGGATTATAACGTTAACCCATATGCGCCGTTGTGCCTAACCTGTTTTATGCTCCAGGCTGTGGTCCAAGTGAGCCTATTGATATTTGATGTCAAATTTGTTAGCTTAATATATCTTTGATAACTGAATTAACCAATAACCTTTCCTCAAATTTCATTAGTTATTGTTCTTTACTACAATATGATAAATACATTTTCCTATACAACGGACAGACATATAGTACTTTCGAAGTATTTTCTAAGTAACAATCAATAATAGATGTCTTATAAAATATTGAAGCTGATTATACTTTTGACACCAGCTTTTACCTCATGTCTTGACTATGGAAAAAGTGCCTTTGAATTTCTGGGACCTCCTTAGTCAACCAATTTTTGTCTCTCGGCCACAAAGTAGTGGAAGCGAGACTAAGGTGTTGCTTTTCTGGTGATGGTGTCAACATCAAATTTTTGCGTTTAACTTAGTTTCACTGAAAGTATAAGTGCTAGACCAACCATCACTGAAAGTATAAGTGCTAGACCAACCAAACTTGGACCATAGATGCATCTTAAGTAGTACATCTCAACACATGTATCAAATACGGGATGGTGCCTACCTTTCATGGTCCATTGACTTTGTCAGCATCTCCATCAACATTCAGTTTTTGCGTTTAAGTTAGTTACTCTGATATGTCCATTAATTGATGGTCAAAGTGGGGCACAGGTGAGACATCAATCCAAATGGCTTCTTCTAAAAAATTAAATGACTGGGATGAATCAAGACAAAGATTGCAAAAAAATACCCATCAATAACAGGTGGAATATAAGAATAATAACCTCCAAACAATAGGACTAGAGCCATGATACTTGGCCAGTAATTTGCTCACATGGAATGTTGTTAAGTTTGCACAAAGAAGTTGGACAAGATAAGAGGAGAAAAAACAAAGAAATCCTCTCAGGAAATGTATATCATACCACTATCTATGAATTTTGTTTTTATTCAGGATTCCTCTGATAAAAGTGAAGCAGGCAACAAGATGAATTACACTCGCTTCTTTAACAAAGTCAGTTTGGCGAGGAAGCCTTCCCCCATTAGGGTGCTGAGTAAGTTGTGATTTATGTACTTGAAGTTTGATTCATAGTATTAAAAGAGACACTTAATTTTGTGATCATGTGCTACCATTGATAATCTATAGTTCAATAATAAACGGTATATTATTGAGCCATAGGTTATCAATGGTAGCACATCACCTGACTTTTTGATAAAATCAACAAACTAGTCTCATATGTATATAGAAAATTTGAATAAGAAAGTTCCACACTTATGTTTACAATGTATTTACATAATTCAGGTACTTGTCGAACTGTGATGAGTCTCAGTATTCTGATGTATTGAAGACTTAAGGACTATCAGTAAGAGTCCTTTCTTAATTTGGTGAACCTTGTTTATTCTCTGATAAGTAGAACTGATCTTTTACAGCTGAGATAATACAGAACAGCCCAAAGTCACTGATCAGTATGGCTGGTGGTATGCCTAACGTAGAGACATTTCCTTTCACAGAAGCAACTATCACACTCAAGTAAGTTTCATTTCAACAATTCTATTCATGATGGTATATGAATGGGAATGACAGGCCTTGCCTACATCAGTTCTCTCCTGCATGCATTTGTATGAAACAGTATATAGTCATATGTATTATAATCTATAGTGAAATGAAAAATTGAAAAAAGATACAACTTATATACAAAACAGATATCAATACATCAAGTAAGTTTAAAGGAAACTATCTCACTTAAGTAAGTATAAAGGCACTATCACACTCAAGTAAGTTTAGAGACAACTATCACACTCAATTAAGTTTAGAGACAATTATCACACTGAAGTAAGTTTAGAGACAATTATCACACTGAAGGTTTTTTAGAGACAATTATCACACTCAAGTTAGTTTAGAGATTTCTTCTCAGGAACTTTGAGACCAAGAATCAATTAGTTTGCTGGAGGTTTAAGGGCTATCAAAATTATCCAAATAAATCATCTGGACATAAATATACAACGTCACACAGTTCAAATGGATGAACATTTTCTTAACTCCTTTTTGCTTTTTTTCTTAAAATTTCAACATCCTATTTTTTTGTTGTAGGAATGGTTCTAAGCTTCACCTTGATCAAGCAGCCATGAACAAATCTCTGCAATACTCAGCAACCTCAGGGTAAATTAGTTTGTATTCCTAAATTGATTTATTTAGATTTCATGAATTGTAAGCTGTAAATTGTTAGTTGGAATTTGTTAAATCAGTTATCACTTTTGAGTCAAAAATGATTTAACAAGCCTTATATTACCTGGCCTGAAAACCTAGTAATGCTCTTTTCTCTAAGAACCTAATTCTCATCCTGAATGTGAATATTCTCTACTTTCCTTTCAAATGTTTAATAGCGTTCCTGCATTTCTTTCACTATTTTAGTCAAGAAGTGATTTCTTATTATAAATAGATAAATATTTTACTATTTCATTGGATATTTGAGGATATCTATAGCTACTAGCCAAAATCTGACTTTCAAAATAGTGAGGGGTGATCATATTATCATAGTTCTGGGATTCCTATATTATTCAAATGAATCCTAAGATAATTCCAGAACTCTCCTGATAATCCCACAAATCTCCTGATAATCCCAGAACTCTCCTGGTAATCCCAGAACTCTCTTGATAATCCCAGAACTCTCCTGATAATCATAGAACTTTCCTGATAATCCCAGAACTCTCCTGATAATCCCAGAACTCTCTTGATAATCCCAGAACTCTCTTGATAATCCCAGAACTCTCCTGGTAATCCCAGAACTCTCCTGATAATCCGAGAACTCTCCTGGTAATCCCAGAACTCTCCTGATAATCCCACAAATCTCTTGATAATCCCAGAACTCTCCTGATAATCCCAGAACTCTCCTGATAATTCCTGAGGTCATTTTGTAATAATTATCCCAGGTGTCCTTAATTAAGGTTCTGCAATAATACAGTAAAACCTTGTTATACTTCCACTATTTGTCCAGAGAATAATACAGTAAAACCTTGTTATACTTCCACTATTGGTCTAGAGAATAATACAGTAAAACCTTGTTATGCTTCCACTATTTGTCCAGAGAAATTTTGGGGTTTTGTGATGAATTAATGGAAACGTAAAAAGGAATTATTAAGAAAACGAGAAAAAGGGACATTGAAATATGTTGGTGGTAAATAAGGTGGCAAATGAAATAAGGGGTAGTATAGCGAGGTTTTACTGTACTAGTAGTTTCCCAGTTTTACCCCCTTTATTTCCAACTTTTATATGGATAAAATGTTTTGCCCTAAATGACCCTAATTTATATGATTTATTTACTTATAACATGGGTGTTGTTTATTGCTGAGCATGGGTTTGTTACGAGTTAAAAAAAGTGATCAATATAAAAAGAATTGCCTGTTGTACAGAGTTTTGTATTCCACTGGTTACAGGAAAGCATGGAATATTTTATGAATTTGTTTTCTAACTAATTATAATGTTTCCCTGATTGAAGCTTGCCCATGTTGCACCAGTGGGTCAGTGACCTCCAGACTCAAATCCACAAGCCTCCAGACAATGGACACCCGATGTCCTGTGTGATCACCAACGGAAGTCAGGATGGACTCTGTAAGGTACGCCCATGATACAGTACACAACATCAGGTCGTTCTCTTTTTATCACCTTCATCAACTCTGTCTTTATTCTCATACAGTCTTATTTTGAAATTGAAGTTTCTTATTCCTGAGACAGTCTTACTGTGAAAAATGTTGAAACTGCGTTACCCTCAGTAAATGGTCTAATAAATTTGTCAATAGACCAATATGGCTGTGTGAAATGAATGTCCTCTGAATCACAGTGTTCACAGTTAGTGGTAGAACCCTATTGACAATAATATTTTAGGGATTTAACCCCTAGTGGAGATAATAGATAATGTCGGTTAAGATAATGAAGTGGTTTCTGAAATTCATGATGTCTTGTTTTGACTGTAACTAAATCATGGCAATTTGATTATTTTGTAGGCGTTTGAAGCCTTTGTGACTCCTGGTGACAATGTACTTTTAGAACACCCTGTCTATCCGGGCGCCCTGGCCTCTGTGAGTTCTAGTTTGTCAATGTTTTAAGAATAATACAAATGTATAATAAAATGATGTTCATTTTTTAGAATTGGTTGAACATTTTGTTCACAATCGCAAAAAACTGAGACACCAAGTTAAGGGGTTTTGACTTAAACTTGCTGGTTAATATTTAATTGACTAGGTTTAAAATTAGTGAATATGGACTAAGTTTCATTTGGATATCCACTATACTGATACTGGTAAAAGGTAACAGCAAAATGTGTGAAAAAGATAAATATATAGGAGAACCCCCATGGTATTTACTTTGAATTTATGTTACAACATATATTTTTTATTCTATAAGGTTTCGCCACTGGACTGTAACCTGCTCCCAGTCCATTCTGACGGAGACGGTATTAACCCAGAACACCTCCGTCAGACCCTGTCCCGCTGGAGTCCCGCAGATGCCAAGGACCCTAGCAGTGACATTCCTAAGGTGCTGTACTGTATCCCTAATGGTGGAAACCCTACAGGATCTGGTCTGACTCTGAAGAGGAAACAAGAGATCTACTCGCTAGCTCGGCAGTATGACCTGATGATACTGGAAGATGACCCTTACTTTTACATACAGTTTGCCAGGGTAAGTAAGATCAAGGCCAGGTAACATGGTTCAGTTGCCCAGGAGATACAAAGTAACATGGTTCAGTCACCCAGAAGATACAAAGTAACATGGTTCAGTTACCCAGGAGATACAAAGTAACATGGTTCTGTCGCCCAGGAGATATAAAGTAACATGGTTCAGTTGCCCAGGAAATACAAAGTAACATGGTTCAGTCGCCCAGGAGATACAAAGTAACATGGTTCGGTCACCCAGGAGATACAAAGTCACATGGTTCAGTCGCCCAGGAGATACAAAGTAACATGGCTCAGTCGCCCAGGAGATACAAAGTAACATGGTTCGGTCACCCAGGAGATACAAAGTCACATGGTTCAGTCGCCCAGGAGATACAAAGTAACATGGTTCAGTCGCTCAGGAGATACAAAGTAACATGGTTCAGTTGCCCAGGAGATACAAAGCAACATGGTTCAGTCGCCCAGGAGATACAAAGTACCATGGTTCAGTCGCCCAGGAGATACAAAGTAACATGGCTCAGTCGCCCAGGAGATACAAAGTAACATGGTTCAGTCGCTCAGGAGATACAAAGTAACATGGTTCAGTTGCCCAGGAGATACAAAGAAACATGGTTCAGTCGCTCAGGAGATACAAAGTAACATGGTTCAGTCGCCCAGGAAATACAAAGTAACATGGTTCAGTCGCCCAGGAGATACAAAAACATTACATGGTTCAGTCGCCCAGGAGATACAAAGTAATTACATGGTTCAGTCGCCCAGGAGATACAAAGTAATATGGTTCTGTCGCCCAGGAGATATAAAGTAACATAGTTCAGTTGCCCAGGAAATACAAAGTAACATGGTTCAGTCGCCCAGGAGATACAAAAACATTACATGGTTCAGTCGCCCAGGAGATACAAAGTAATTACATGGTTCAGTCGCCCAGGAGATACAAAGTAACATGGTTCGGTCACCCAGGAGATACAAAGTCACATGGTTCAGTCGCCCAGGAGATACAAAGTAACATGGTTCTGTCGCCCAGGAGATATAAAGTAACATGGTTCAGTTGCCCAGGAGGTACAAAATAACATGGTTCAGTTGCCCAGGAGATACAAAGAAACATGGTTCAGTCGCCCAGGAGATACAAGTTCTGGTCTACCATGACATCTAGACAGTTGTTTGTTATGAGTACTGGTAAGCTGTGAGTTCTAACGTCTGACCATGGAGAAAATATCACTTATCTCCATATATTTGAAATATTGTTACATGTAATAGAAAGAGCGGTGCAGCAGAGACGTCTATAAGCAGTTTACCTTGGATGTTTGGGAGGCCATTAGTTCATGATTCAGTGTTGTATGTACAAGTGAAGGGTATGGTCCACTCTGGTGTTGGAAAAGTGTGGCCATCAAGGGAAAATGTACTTAAGTTCTGTTGAAGTATTTTGGCCCCCGTAGGGGGAGTAGGTAGATTTGTTAGAAGTGTAAACATTCAAGACTTCTCATCCAGTTCTAACAGGCAATTTTAATCAAACTTAGTGCAAATGATCATATTATGGGCATGAATAAGTTTTATTTTTGGGGCTGATTTGAAATCCAAGATATATGCTATGGTCTTGGCGGCTGGATTGGGACATTATCAAATTCTATTCAACTTCCTTCAGGTTGATTTTGACAAACTTGGTTCCAATGATTACTGACATTTCTGACTAATTCTTAAGTTCCACTGATGTTTTTAACAAAAGTTGATAAAAATGTCATCATACTTATTAAATGTTCTAATTGTAATTGTTTTTGGTCAATAAGAAATCCAAGATGCTTACCATTATATTCCAACAAAGTGAGTGTACAGGTCCCATTGATTATTTGTTTAAATTACTTTGAGTCTGAATAATGTAATCAAAAAGGGTATTTCATAAGTTGGAATTTATTTCACCATTTCTATTTTGGATTAGCCATTTGTTCCGAGCTTCCTGTCCCTGGATGTAGATGGAAGAGTTGTGCGATTTGACTCATTGTCTAAACTCCTATCCTCAGGGTAAGTCATAGCTAACTCAAAACTCCTATCCTCAGGGTAAGTCATAGCTAACTCCAAACTCCTATCCTCGGGGTAAGTCATAGCTAACTCCAAACTCCTATCCTCGGGGTAAGTCATAGCTAACTCCAAACTCCTATCCTCAGGGTAAGTCATAGCTAACTCCAAACTCCTATCCTCAGGGTAAGTCATAGCTAACTCCAAACTCCTATCCTCGGGGTAAGTCATAGCTAACTCCAAACTCCTATCCTCGGGGTAAGTCATAGCTAACTCCAAACTCCTATCCTCGGGGTAAGTCATAGCTAACTCCAAACTCCTATCCTCGGGGTAAGTCATAGCTAACTCCAAACTCCTATCCTCGGGGTAAGTCATAGCTAACTCCAAACTCCTATCCTCAGGGTAAGTCATAGCTAACTCAAAACTTCTATCCTCAGGGTAAGTCATAGCTAACTCCAAACTCCTATCCTCGGGGTAAGTCATAGCTAACTCTAAACTCCTATCCTCAGGGTAAGTCATAGCTAACTCCAAACTCCTATCCTCGGGGTAAGTCATAGCTAACTCCAAACTCCTATCCTCGGGGTAAGTCATAGCTAACTCTAAACTCCTATCCTCAGGGTAAGTCATAGCTAACTCCAAACTCCTATCCTCGGGGTAAGTCATAGCTAACTCCAAACTCCTATCCTCGGGGTAAGTCATAGCTAACTCCAAACTTCTATCCTCAGGGTAAGTCATAGCTAACTCCAAACTCCTATCCTCGGGGTAAGTCATAGCTAACTCCAAACTCCTATCCTCAGGGTAAGTCATAGCTAACTCCAAACTTCTATCCTCAGGGTAAGTCATAGCTAACTCCAAACTTCTATCCTCGGGGTAAGTCATAGCTAACTCTAAACTCCTATCCTCAGGGTAAGTCTTAGCTAACTTCAAACTTCTATACCTCGGGGTAAGTCATAGCTTATTCCAAACTTTATTTTTAACTCCTATTTATGTGACAAGTTTTGGATAACTTCAAATTTTATAGAACTTAATTGGATTGTCTAGCTTGAGTTGTGGAATAAAAATATTGAAAAGGAATCAGAAACATTAAAGGAGTGAGGATCACATTCAACATTGGTAGAGAAATAGTAGCTAACTTAGATTGACATGGAAGAGGAGGGACATATACTTCCTACACAGGCTATTTGTGGAGAGGGAATGTTAGGGATATAGTTCAAGTTCAAGAGGTCTTGGTCAAGGTCAATGTTGAAGCAATGAATTGTTTTGAACTGTCAGATATCTCACTAACTGATTTCCGGTATACTGACAGCTGTTTGTAGATGGTCCCTGGTGCCTGTTTAGAGTAAATGTGTATGCATTTTACATGCAACATAATCATAACAATAAATCTGAGGTATTTTTTGTTATCTCTAAATAAAGTGTGAAATACTGATGTGTGGGAAAATATTAAGACAAATGAATAAATGCTGTAATTTTCTGAATCTTCTCCTGATCAAACTTTGGGATTTGAAACGACCCATGACAAATCAGCACTATCATCCAGCATCCACGATTGTGTCTTAATCCCTCACTGATGTGACTTCAGGGTTTGAGACATCACCTGACTGACCAGTACTCTTATCCTGTTTCAGTATGCGAATTGGTTTTGTGACGGGACCAAAGCCAGTAGTTGATCGTTTCACATACCATTTGATGTGTTCCTCCATGCAAGCCAGTGGTCTCTCTCAGGTAACTGTAAATAAACCATTTTCAAAGCATTGTTTTAGGAAAAAAAAAACAACAACATAATATTATAATGCGGCATATTGTTTCCGATGATCTATTCAGGATATATAAATCAGTTATATTTTGAGAGAAGTTCATTTTGAATTTTTCCTGAGAAGGGATTATCGTAAAGTTAGATATATTCTTTACATATTTAGATGGTTTACAGGGCATTTGTCATATCCTAGCATGTGTGTACATAAAGGAAAGAAAAAGTGTAGTATAGTAAACTTTGATCACTGTGACCTTCTTTTTGACCTCTGACCTCAATAAAGAAATGAGTGTTTCCAGAGTATTTCAATTTATGCTGAATCATCAAACTGTATGAAGTTACACCATGGGAAGATTGAGAGTCACTTGCCAAATCTAGGTCACTGTGACCAATGCTTTGACCTCTGACCTTAATTAAGCTAAAAACACTTTCTGGAGCATATCTCCAACACTAGTCATGTTTGATTGTCATTTCATTCTGAAAACCACTTTTATTTGCAAAACACATTTTATTTGCAAAACACAAATGGGATCAAACACAAGTTAAAAATTTCAAACTTGCCTTCTCCTTTAAAACAATAATGATGATATATGACCGAAAAGTAGAAAAACAATGGTGACAGAAAATTGATATAATTCAAAACTTAGTATGAGTTTGTTATTATATAACACTAGCATAATGAACAACATGTTTTTTTGGATTATAATTGCTACCAAAATATACATGATATCATTGTTATGCATGTATATGGCATTGAATATTTTTTTTACAAAAAAAAATAAAAAAATAATAATACAGGTCATAGTAACCCAATTACATAGAAAGCATGCCACACTTTTCCCCAATGGAGAAAATCGGTGTTAAGTTTGCATAATATTGTCTGAAAACGGAATGAAAATTTTCAGCTTTAACTTGTATTTACAGCAAAACATATATACATAGCCATGAAACAACTACTGCAAGTTTCATCTAGTTATTCATAAGGAATTTAAATACACATTTAAAAAGTTTTAATGCAACACCTTGTATAAAAGACTTGGATATTCCTTGTTAATTATGGTCTTTGTTTTCCCTCTATAGATGACACTTGCAATGATCTTGAAGGACTGGGGATTTCCTGGTTTCTTGGAGCATACCGACAAAACGGCAAAATTTTACGAAAACCGATGTCAGCAATGTCTGAAAGCAGCAGAAAAACACCTTAAAGGTGACAACAATTATCCGGTGAAAAATGTACCTCCAAAGAAGGAGATTTCCTAAAATATGTTGCTCATTCTTGCTCATGACTAGAGACTTGCTAGAGACTTCAAGGTATCGGTACACAATTAAGATTTTCTAAATATAGCTATACATGTACTTCTTCAGTCTGAAGTCCTTAGCAATGCATTAGATACTTTGATGTCCCAATTAATTTGAAAAAGTAAAATTAAAATGACAGATTATATTCAAACACTGCCAAAACCAATTCAGATATTTATAAAACAGAATTAAAATTATTGATTTGAAGTGTTCCTTTAACTTTATATATGAATTCCTTAGTTTATAACTCAAGAAATGTGAGAACAATATATCATATCAAATAGAAAAAGAGAAACAAAAAATTGTAGATATGTGTTGCTTGTATATGTGTATATGTGTTAGAAATCTTCACCTGTTGATGTCTGTGTGTTGTTGCCTAACTGGTGTTGGTGCTTTGTTGTTGGAGTAACCTGTCTGCTGATGACATTCAGTTGTTGGTATCTGTTGTTGATGTCTCTCTGTTGTTGGTGTCTATCTACTGTTGATGTCTATCTGTTGTTGGTGTCTATCTGTTGTTAATGTCTTTATTTTGCTGATGTCTATCTGTAGTTGATATCTATCTGTTGATGTCTATCTATTGTTGTCTATCTGTTGATGTCTCTCTGCTGTTGATGTCTATCTGTTGTTAATGTCTATCTTTTGCTGATGTCTATCTGTAGTTGATGTCTATCTGTTGATGTCTATCTGTTGTTGTCTATCTGTTGATGTATCTCTGCTGTTGTTGTCTATCTGTTGTTGATGTCTCTGTTGTTTTTGTCTATCTGTTATTGATGTCTCTCTGTTATTGGTGTCTATCTGCTATTGGTGTCTATCTGTTGTTGGTGTCTATCTGTTGTTAATGTGTATCTTTTGCTGATGTCTATCTGTAGTTGATGTCTATCTGTTGATGTCTATCTGTTGTTGTCTATCTGTTATTGGTGTCTATCTGTTGTTGGTGTCTATCTGTTGTTAATGTCTAACTGTTGTTGATGTCTCTCTGCTGTTGATGTCTATCTGTTGTTGTCTATCTGTTGATGTCTCTCTGCTGTTGTTGTCTATCTGTTATTGATGTCTCTCTGTTATTGGTGTCTATCTGTTATTGGTGTCTATCTGTTGTTGGTGTCTATCTGTTGTTAATGTGTATCTTTTGCTGATGTCTATCTGTAGTTGATGTCTATCTGTTGTTGATGTGTTTCTGTTATTGGTGTCTATCTGTTGTTGTTGTCTATCTGTTGTTAATGTCTATCTGCTGTTGTTGTCTATCTGTTGTTGATGTCTATCTGCTGTTGTTGTCTATCTGTTGTTGATGTCTCTCTGTTGTTAATGTCTATCTGCTGTTGTTGTCTATCTGTTGTCATTATCTATCTGTTGTTAATGTCTATCTGCTGTTGTTGTCTAACTGTTGTTGATGTCTCTTTGCTGTTGTTGTCTATCTGTTGTTGATGTCTCTGTTGTTTTTGTCTATCTGTAGTTGATGTCTATCTGTAGTTGATGTCTATCTGTTTTTGGTGTCTATCTGTAGTTGATGTCTATCTGTTGTTTGTGTCTATCTGTAGTTGATGTCTTTCTGTTGTTAATGTCTGTCTGTTGTTCATGTCTATCTGTTGTTGTTGTCTATCTAATGTTGTTGTCTATCTGATGTTGTTGTCTACCTGTTGTTTATGACTTTCTGTTGTTTTTGTCTCTCTGTTGTTGGTGTCTATCTGTTGTTGTTGTTGTCTGTCTGTTGTTGATATCTATCCCTTGATATTGTTTATCTGTTGTTGTTGTTTATCTGTTGTTGATGTCCAGCATTGGTTGTTTCCAGGTCTGGCTGAATGGTCAGTTCCCTGTGGAGGAATGTTCCTCTGGTTGAAGCTACTCAACATCACAGATGCACATGAACTCATCACAAAGAAGGCTTATTTACGAGATGTTCTGTTTGTACCTGGGAATGTGTTTACATTTGATAGCAGTGCTCCTTGTCAATATGTCAGAGCTTCGTTCTCCACTGCGTCAGAGGAGGAAATGAACACGGTAAACATTTTTTTTCTGGATGTCTGGGTTACAAAACCCAAAGATAACTTTTTGGGCTAAAAAAATAGACTGACCTCCCTATAGTGAAATAGACTGACATCCCTGTAGTGAAATAGACTGACATCCCTATAGTGAAATAGACTGACCACCCTATAGTGAAATAGACTGACCTCCCTATAGTGAAATAGACTGACCTCCCTATAGTGAAATAGACTGACCTCCCTATAGTGAAATAGACTGACCTCCCTATAGTGAAATAGACTGACCTCCCTATAGTGAAATAGACTGACCTCCCTATAGTGAAATAGACTGACCTCCCTATAGTGAAATAGACTGACCTCCCTATAGTGAAATAGACTGACCTCCCTATAGTGAAATAGACTGACCTCCCTATAGTGAAATAGACTGACCTCCCTATAGTGAAATAGACTGACCTCCCTATAGTGAAATAGACTGACCTCCCTATAGTGAAATAGACTGACCTCCCTATAGTGAAATAGACTGACCTCCCTATAGTGAAATAGACTGACCTCCCTATAGTGAAATAGACTGACCTCCCTATAGTGAAATAGACTGACCTCCCTATAGTGAAATAGACTGACCTCCCTATAGTGAAATAGACTGACCTCCCTATAGTGAAATAGACTGACCTCCCTATAGTGAAATAGACTGACCTCCCTATAGTGAAATAGACTGACCTCCCTATAGTGAAATAGACTGACCTCCCTATAGTGAAATAGACTGACCTCCCTATAGTGAAATAGACTGACCTCCCTATAGTGAAATAGACTGACCTCCCTATAGTGAAATAGACTGACCTCCCTATAGTGAAATAGACTGACCTCCCTATAGTGAAATAGACTGACCTCCCTATAGTGAAATAGACTGACCTCCCTATAGTGAAATAGACTGACCTCCCTATAGTGAAATAGACTGACCTCCCTATAGTGAAATAGACTGACCTCCCTATAGTGAAATAGACTGACATCCCTATAGTGAAATAGACTGACCTCCCTATAGTGAAATAGACTGACATCCCTATAGTGAAATAGACTGACCACCCTATAGTGAAATAGACTGACATCCCTATAGTGAAATAGACTGACCACCCTATAGTGAAATAGACTGACATCCCTATAGTGAAATAGACTGACCACCCTATAGTGAAATAGACTGACATCCCTATAGTGAAATAGACTGACCACCCTATAGTGAAATAGACTGACATCCCTATAGTGAAATAGACTGACCACCCTATAGTGAAATAGACTGACATCCCTATAGTGAAATAGACTGACCACCCTATAGTGAAATAGACTGACATCCCTATAGTGAAATAGACTGACCACCCTATAGTGAAATAGACTGACATCCCTATAGTGAAATAGACTGACCACCCTATAGTGAAATAGACTGACATCCCTATAGTGAAATAGACTGACCACCCTATAGTGAAATAGACTGACATCCCTATAGTGAAATAGACTGACCACCCTATAGTGAAATAGACTGACATCCCTATAGTGAAATAGACTGACCACCCTATAGTGAAATAGACTGACATCCCTATTGTGAAATAGTCTGACCTCCCTATAGTGAAATAGACTGACCTCCCTATAGTGAAATAGTCTGACCTCCCTATAGTGAAATAGACTGACATCCCTATAGTGAAATAGTCTGACATCCCTATAGTGAAATAGACTGGCCTCCCTATAGTGAAATAGACTGACCTCCCTATACTGAAATAGTCTGACATCCCTATAGTGAAATAGATTGACATCCCTATAGTGAAATAGACTGACTTCCCTATAGTGAAATAGTCTGACCTCCCTATACTGAAATAGACTGACATCCCTATAGTGAAATAGACTGACATCCCTAGAGTGAAATAGACTGACATCCCTATAGTGAAATAGACTGACCACCCTATAGTGAAATAGTCTGACCTCCCTATACTGAAATAGACTGACCACCCTATAGTGAAATAGACTGACCTCCCTATACTGAAATAGTCTGACCTCCCTATACTGAAATAGACTGACATCCCTATAGTGAAATAGTCTGACTTCCCTATAGTGAAATAGACTGACCGCCCTATAGTGAAGTGTGCAACATTACCAGCCAATCCCTAATATTGTTTTCTGTATGTGAAATCAAACAATTTCTCAAAAAGATTCTGAGTCTGGGTATTTGTATCACTAATAGGAATGATAATTGCTATTTGTCTGAAAACCTTTTCTTGGTTTAGTGTTGGTACTTTTGTAATAAGGGTAAATCTTATTTAACCAGATACTGACTAAACTTGTTCAAATCATTGTATGACAGTTACACAGTATATTGTATTTTTGTTTCTGTTTACCATCTGTTTATCTGTGTGAATCATTGACTATCAGGTTTAGACACTGCTGGGTAAAACTATCAGGTTTAGACACTGCTGGGTAAAACATCTGCAGTCTGTAAATCAGTAAAATACGAAAGCACTTATTTTACTCAGTCAGATGGTTTTTGAATCGGTTAGATCTGGGGTTTTAACGGTACCAGGTATTTTACCTTTGTTTTTTTATTGTAGGCATTTTCTAGATTAGCAGAGTTACTCAAGGAAGAAACATCAAAGAAGAATTAAGGATTTAAAACTTATCCCGGTGTGCAATCTTCGAATTCCAACAGGAAACGATATTAGATACCAACAGATGTATTAGCTGTAAACTGTATCAAATACGTATATTATATACAACTTTGCTTTTTTTTACCTAAAATATATCAGGTTTTAAAAACTGTAAGTGCTATTCCACCAAACATGTTTTTATTAATCACTTTTACTTCGCAATTCTTTATTAAACATTTGCAATATGCAAACTTCTTAATGATAATTATAGGAAATTGCATTTTACATGACCTACATGTACCTATTTATGATCTGTCCTAGTATACGTGTTTGAAGAGTACAGGTGTTACAGGTGTTACCGGTGTGTTACAGGTGTGTTACAGGTGTTACAGGTGTTAGTGATGTTAACTCGTACACTATTTCTCGTTTGGTGGCATATACACACTTATAATCTTACTCTAATTTATCCCATTTATTCTTGTTTTTCAAATTTTGTGATTTTGAAGAAACCGACTTTAACCGATTTACATTTTTTTTACATCCTTTTTAACCACTCTTTGAGTACAAATTCTGAAAACATAAATATAGAAAAATACATGCATATCAAATTAAAAAGGTGCTTGCTGCTAAAAACAAAATGTCATCTGGCCAAAAATGTTTTTTTGTTGCAAATGTAGTGTTTTTTAAATCATATTCAGATTTTGGTTTCCTGATTTTAAACCACTTGACAAAGTGCATTGTGATAGAGAGTAAGACTTGGTATGGTTTTTAAGTACTGTATAATTAAGTTGCTGATTTGATGTTTACCATTTTGAAAATTCTTATTAATCCAAAATGTATACTCTATTTCTTTCTGATCAATGTTTGTCACACCCAGCTGATTTGGGTCGCCGAAACTATACCAGAGCACAAATTTGGCGATTATCGGGGATCGGTACTAGTGCGGCAGCGCAATGGTATCACAACCTCAGTCACATTTGCGCCGATTTACAAAAAGGTGCCCAGGCGATGAGTTTTTTGGCCAAAATTGGCCGGCAAGCCGAGGAACCGTAATGACACCGGGAGATTATCAGCATATATTGGCCAGTTTTTACGCTCTGCACGGGTTGCCAAGAGCTTTTAGCGTGGAGATCTGCCGTTGTAGTCCTGTTGCTCATTCTGGCAGCGCAACAGCAAACATTTTTGAGCAAGTTAAAAAAATTCTACTGTTTCCTGCCGTGCATAAATTTTTGCCAATGTTCTGAAGATGAACTACAGTTCTTAGCGATGTGATACCGTTGCGCTTCCGTACTAGTACCTATATCCCCTGAAATTGTCAAATCTGTGCTCTGGTATAGCTCTGGCCACCTACATCGTCTAGGTGTGAGAAGCCCTTTAAGCAGATGTCCATGGCTTTGTTTAGTCTATGTTAACAGATAACAATCAGATAAGTTGCATTATCTTAAAATTATATTTGATGTTTTATGTTTTGAGTACAGTGTGTTGCCATCTTGAATTGCTAGCTTGTCAAAACTGTTTACTCTCCAGAAACCTATGTTGATGGTCTATAGATTATCGTTCAATATATCATTAAGGTCTATGTTTAATCTATGGTCCCAAAGACAACTCAGTGGTTTTACAAACATGGACTCTAAATGTATGAGTGATCAATGATTATGTTCTTTGACTCAACAAAAAATTAACAATGGCATTATTTTATTATATTTAAGTGGGTTTAATTAACAGCTGTGCAATCAATAATGATTGTGATACATATTCTTTTAACTTGTTTATTGATTTTAAGTTGACTTTAATTTAAACCGTTAATGAATGTATGTTGATGTGAAATTGATAATATACAAAGAATGGAGTAAGTTTTGTTATGCATTGCTCATTGTTGTTTTGTATGTACTAGCTCGCACTGGCCCCTTTTGTGTATCCGGTTCAACCATCTCAACTTGCTGAACCTGAAAAGAAAAGGACAGGTTCAGATTTGAACCAAGGCTGACCTCAGGAATATTTGGCACGTGTACGGGAGGGGTCCAGATGTGCTTGACTGAAACTAAAATTTTGACTGTCGTAATTTGCATTTATTTCTGCATAAAACAAGATCGATTCACATGTATATTTCAGGAAATGATATATTATTTGTTTGTAACAATACTCCAAAACTAGAGCTCTGCCTATCAGTTTGGCACCTCCTATCAGTTTGGCACTTCCTATCAGTTTGGCACTGCCTGTCAGTTTTGCACAACCTACCAGTTTGGCACTGCCTATCAGTTTGGCACAACCTATCAGTTTGGCCCTGCCTATCAGTTTGGCACAACCTATCAGGTTGGCACAACCTATCAGTTTGGCACTGCCTGTCAGTTTGGCACAGTTTGGCACAACCTATCAGTTTGGCACAGCCTATCAGTTTTGCACAGTTTGGCACAACCTATCAGTTTGGTACTGCCTATCAGTTTGGCACAGTTTGGCGCAACCTATCAGTTTGGCACAGTTTGGCAGAACCTATCAGTTTGGCACTGCCTATCAGTTTGGCACAACCTATCAGTTTGGCACAGTTTGGCACAACCTATCAGTTTGGCACAGTTTGGCACAACCTATCGGTTTGGCACAGCCTATCAGTTTGGCACAGTTTGGCACAACCTATCAGTTTGGCACAGTTTGGCACTGCCTATCAGTTTGGCACAACCTATCAGTTTGGCACTGCCTATCAGTTTTGCACAACTTATCAGTTTGGCACAACCTATCAGTTTGGCACTGCCTATCAGTTTGGCACAACCTATCGGTTTGGCACAGCCTATCAGTTTGGCACTGCCTATACGTTTGGCACATTTTGGCACAACCTATCAGTTTGGCACTGCCTATACGTTTGGCACAACCCATAAGTTTGGCACTGCCTATACGTTTGGCACAATCTATCAGTTTGGCACTGCCTATACGTTTGGCATAACCTATCAGTTTGGCACTGCCTATCAGTTTGGCACAGTTTCAGTCAAATTGCGTTCATTTATTGCAGTCTATTTCTGCGTAACCTGAATTGTTTCAACCAGGATATGCGAAAACAACCCTGCTGTATAGTTAGTATGTGTTTTAAGTGCTAGTATTTATGTTAAGCTGATATGGGAGAGGGTAGGAAAACTACATGTTTAAATGTGGTTGCATTATACACCAGCATTACTTTTGATGTGGGTTTTTTAAGATTTCAATATTTATTTGAACAAGGTTTGATGGAATTATCCAAAGTTATGTGTCATACATTTTATATTCCGTGAGTTCAGATTAAAATCAACACCAAAGGATTGCATAATAAATATCTATACTGTAATCAGATTGTATGTACTATTTTTATACGCCCGTCAAATTTGAAGGAAGTATTATGGTATGGGGTTGTCCGTCCGGCCGGAAACTTTTATTTGTCCGGCATTTTCTCCTCCTATATTTTTCGACCGATCTCTTTGAAACTTGGTATACATTATAATCATGATATGAAGTTGTGTCTCCCTTAAAAGAATTTTGATTCGACAATTTATCCAAAAGTTATTGCCCTTTGTTCATTTCAGTATTTGATTTTTTGTCCGGCAATCTCTTCCTACATTTTTAGCTCACCTGCCCGAACTTCTCCCCGGTTTGGCCCCCTTACCCAGCCCCCTAGGGGATCAGTCTCATAAATAGTATACCAGCAGACCTCCCTCCCCTAACAAGTATTTCTGTCAAATATGAGCAAAACATTGGAAGATATGGCCTATTATGTCTGTTTCATATATAAACTATATTAAATGTCACCCCCTCCTCAGGGGCCAAACCGGGGAGAAATTTGGGAAAAATTCAAAATTCTTCTTCTCTGTTTACAAAAATGCCAGGATCAAATACTACCCATAGCTGTAATAGCTTTTGGGTGGTTTATAAAAATTGTGATTTTCATGTCTACCAGGCCCCCCGTTTGCCACTGGTGAGGGGGTGAAATTTAGTATAGTTTATATAGGAAATATACATAATAGGCCATATCTTCCAATGTTTTGAACGGAGTTTGCTCATATTTGACAGAAATACTTGTTAGGGGAGGAAGGTCTGCTGGTATAATACTTTTGACCCTGACCCCCATGGGGGCTGGGTTTGGGGTGAAAAAGGAGGCGAATTTCAAAAATCTTCTTCTGCAGTTCCAGAAATGCTAGTATCAAATACTACTCATAGTTGTAAAGGCCTTCGAGTGGTTTATATACTTTGTGATTTTCATGTGCCCCAGGCCCCTCGTTTGCCTTTGGGGAGGGGGTAAAGTTTGGTATTGTTTATATAGACAATTAGACAAATGAACAGCAATCACATACTTTTTATCTCCAACCCAACTAATGTGCTAGTAATAGTAACAACCTTAGTTCTTTATGAATTATAAAGTCTCCATAGTAACGCTTCCAAGTCTTACCCTACATTCTGAAGTGGTTACAAATTGGCATTACAGAGCAAATGTAAATATTGTGCCATGATTGCTTAAATAATCAGGTGAGCGATACAGGCCCCCTGGGCCTCTTGTTCAATGGATTTCTTTGAAACTTGGTATACATTATAATCATGATATGAAATTATGTCTCCATTAAAAGAATTTTGATTCGACGTTTTTTTTCCAAAAGTTATTGCCCTTTGTTCATTTCAGTATTTGATTTTTTGTCCGGATATTTTCTCCTACATTTTTTATAGCATGTCATGCATGCTAACCGCTCTTAGAACGATGCAGATCTCATTTCAATGTAAGAAAGTATACAACATTATATGGCATTCGACGGGCGTATATTGTTCCGCCCTGCGGTACTCTTGTTGTATTAGTTAATTCACAGGGCCAGAAATGTACATGTACTAATAAGGAATAAGAACGTATATAATAGATGCTGATATAAATGGTCACTAATATTCACATCATGTGATAGCTGATAATGGTACCTAAAGGTCTAATTGAATTTTTCTATTCTTATTGGGTTTTTTTCAATTCTCAATTTTGTCTATCAAATTATTTTTATATTAAATCATATTCATGGCTTGCTTCATAGAATTAAAGCAAAAGCAAAAACTAACCCAAAAAAATCATGTAAGTTAAAACTGAATATTGTTGGTTCGGAATATGAATTTCTCCCACCATTCACATACTTATCTACCGTTTTGCGTGTTCAGGATTCACTCTCACCTCTCGGGATGACGTTTCACCCTCGACTTGAATCAACCCTCGGGTTAGACAATCAAGATTATCACCCTTCAGGTTAAGATTTCTCTCAAATATCCACGTGGTAATCAGGTATCGAGGTTTTCATTGCTATAGTAACTGAGGTGTGCAGTTTATCTTTAACTTGACGGTATGGATAGGAAAATGATGTGATGAAAAGCAGGTGCATGTTTTTAGAAATTGTAATAAATTACAACATGTAGATGACAAAATGTGTGTAGGATAACGCGTGTTCAGTTACGTCTCGGAGTATGCTCGTTTATTGCTAAAGCCCTGGTGGAATGTATCCCTGCGTGTCACAATACTGCCATGATGTCCGAGATGTCAGATGAACACACGTAAGTTGTTGACTATATATGTACCGGTAGATAGAAACACATATGGTACATGTATTTATATGTACCCAGTAAGTTGCAATATAAATAGTAAACTGATCAAATGGCTATCTTGATATGAACATCAAAAGCAAACAAAGAGCATCTACTATAAACTTTAATATAAACTTTATTTCTCTCCTTGTACGCATAATGAAATGCTCAAATGGAAAAGGATCAAGAATTGCGTTTCAAAAAAATTAAATTAATCCAGTTCCTTAAGGCGACAGAAACATTTGCATTATGGACAGTCTACAATGCATCTAGCTATATAGTTATAATATTTGGTTAAAGCTCATCATATGCGCTAATACAATAATTATAAAATAAGACATCTCTGAAACAGAATTATATCGTTAAAATGTAAACATAACAAAAACACTTTGATCTGATGATGAATATTTAAACACATTAAAAAGCTCGTATTGACCTAGGGGCAGGCTCTCATCAATGAAAGTAACAGTTGAGGAGAAATTAGTTGAGGTAATGGGTTAAACTGGATTGGTCTGATTTGAGATAATACATTACAAATTATCATTAGTTTTGTTGATTTATCCATATAAACATTTCGTTTATGAAACTAATTTCAATGAGGTGCTGTCAAAGGATTTCGACAGATTAGAAGATGATACAATTGAAAAAATAAATTGAGCTAATTGCATATTCATAACAAAGTCAGTGAAGCGGCAAATATAGAACACAGTGACCTACATTTGATGCATTGGTGTAGTACCCCTTTAAATGTAGCCACAATATTGATGATATAGCAAAACTCAAGTCTAAAAAGATGTCGTACGGCTGGACCGATGGAAAATTAAATCACTTAATACCCCTTCCTACGTGTGGCAGGGTTTTCAATTATATCAGTTTTGGTCTATTTGTTTGCTTATGAAGGGTGAATATGAAGAGGTCCAGCATTCTTTCTCTGAAGTACATGAACGATTTGCTAAGACCTGGTATTGATTTGTTTTTTTAAAATGTATGACGTGTGTTTTATTTTCTTGCAGTTGGCATGGCATGTTGCAACAGTACAAACAAGTTGTTCAATAAGCAAAAATATTAATTTACCAATGACATAATTCACATTTAAATTATATGATAATCAGACGGGTTGATGACAAGGTTAAAGCATACCTACCAGTATCGACATATTATAGTTCACCAAACTGTTCTACGAAACTACATTAACAGTGAACAAACCACGTTATTTACACATAAAGAAAATACATTTTTAAGGTTATGCTGCAGTTCAACAAATACATACTTTATTAATATATGAAGTAATATACTATATCATATAAGAAATTAGCGAAAAGAAAACCTCTTGATGAAATTCATACACGAAAGCTTCGTTTAGTACACCATGTAACAATCCTTTGACAATTGTGTGTATGAGCTCGATGCTGTAGGACCAACGATTGGATGAATCTGGCTTGCCTATTTAGTGTCGATCATTTCATAAACGTTTGGATGTACCTCCTGGGAACCCGACAGAGTTGTGTAAGTACGATCTGGATCGCATGGTTCTGCAAGGCGGTTTAAAATAACAATTAAGAAATGCCACCGTGTCTTAAAATACTATAGTAGGCAAAACACACATAAAATTGTACCCCGTTTGGCATAAAGCGTGAATAAGAAAACTAGTAATTCAATGTTTTCAAAGAGCTTAATGAACAGTATTTGAGTGCATTTTAACCGTTTTGGGTTTTTCTTACCTACGTTCTTGTGTGAAGAGCCCTTTTTGTTTCTGATTTTGCTGTAAATAGAAAATTGCTTCTATGTCTATATGGCTAAATAATATATATAATATATCGTAATGACACAGTTCATGACCCTTATAATTCATTTAATTTAATTTCAACAGATTTTATTGACTTGGTGTTATGGTCAAATGGATCGAATAACAGGCAAGCCTATATAAATTCTTTCCATAGGTGGCTAGAGTGTTACAAGAATATTATAGAACTGTAGCTAAATATATTTTATAGATATTTTGAAATGAAAATACATAAATGTAAACGATAAAGTATTTAAAGGGAGGTAACTCACTTTTGATTACTTACAATACAACATAGGACATACACACACCGACACACACACACAAACAAAACATAAATATAGTTGTTAATTATCATAATTACACGTGTACACATGAGTTACTATTTAACATTCGATACAGTTAGGTAGATAGACCAAAAGTCCATGTGCAAGTACTGCACAGGTCATCACCACCTAAACTGTGTATTAATTTATTTATATGTAACTATTTAATCTACTATTTAATATACAGAATTAACCCGATATGTACATTTATCAAATGTATAAGTAAAACGTTGTGTAGAGGAGCACAAAATGAATAAGTGAAAATATATATTTATTATATAATCAAGTAAATTCACAGCCATGTTCAACTGTTTTCATAGAAAATTACAGTTTTTGTTAATATAATGGCTTTCTAGATCTTGTAAAAGTTAAAACTTTTGGATTTCCCTATAAAGTAATGTATATCACGAAGCACTAGTCTGTTTGTATTACCGTTACAACTAGGACAGCCATGTAAAATAATGTCAATACCGATATGGTTATGGTCAAAGACATAATTACTGAGTGAGTTGAACAAATTAATCTGCAAATCATAGTAAATAGGACAAAATGATAGACTGTTTCCAGTTCATCTGAACAAGTACATACTGGACTATAAGTTAGGTGGTCATGATGCAAATCAAACTTTAAATCACTACAAAACTTCTAAGTTGGGAAAGACCCTTCTCATGACAAATCGGGAAGGCAGTAGGCACCACTTAAAATACTTTGTCAAAATTGGTTCAGTCGACTACGACCTCGACCATGGAATACAGCCATTAGAGAGTCGATATGTCGTCCAGACGTGATACATCCATGTATGAAATATGAAGATTGGACAAGAATAACAAAGATTTGGTATGATGATAAATCAAATACGATTAAGGTTTTCAGTGAAAAGAATACGTTGGTTGACATCCGCTTATTGCAGTTTCAGTTCTCAACATTCCGTCTTGACAGGTTGTAATCTGTCCCATGCAGTTTAAATGTATTAAAACATGAAATTTTCTTTCAAATCAAATAAAGTAGACTAATCCTTGGAAAGAAACGCTCAGCTGATTTTTTTTTGCTACATTTAGTCAGTCAAAAACACATAGATCAATCATGACATGAAATTGATCGGTTTTAGAGTTTCCGGACGGTCACATTGAAGGTTTATATGATAAAGGTACTTATCTAATAATGTAAATAAATAAATAAATAATGCTTTCATTCTCTTTGATAGCGATGCATTGTTATAATTAAATGATAGCATGCTGACAGTCGTATTAAAAAAGTACAAAAATATGTATTGAAAAATGTGTGTATTATTTGTGATAAGCTATGGAATGTTTTTTTGCGTCTCATGTTGTTAATATGTTACTTACCGAAACAGACATATTTCCAACGTGATGAACACAACCAGCATTAGCCCACAAATGACAGCCAAAACAGCTATCACAATCAATCTGTTATCTGTACCTTCAAATAAATAAATAACATCAAATATAGGCAATACAACAAGACCAGCGTGCAGTTGGTTACCATATTGAATAAGTAACCAACTTCACGCTAGTTACAACAAGAGATTACCAAAGTGTCAACAAAATCACTAACTCAAACTCGATAAAAACTAGGGTTAATATAAAAAAGGAAACACTTACATAAGGCAATATAAAAAAGGAGTTAGCGCAATATGATACAGCCTGAATTAAGTATGATTAATTTTACTTGATGATATATATTAAATCGAAACTGTTTTAAAAGTCAAGCATATTTCCTATTCTTACAAAAATCGCCAACAATTTGTATTTAAACTCTTGAACAAACCAAATTATACAAATTGTGATAAATATGCAATTTGTGATTTGTCACTCATTCATGTTCTGGCAAAAATATATGATGAATAAACTTGTGACAGAGTAATCGATATATAGACCGTATCATTATCAACCTACAACGTTGCCCTGTGAGCTTTTCATTACGCATTTTTTCACCTCTAAAAGCGATAAAATCCTGATACTATGTGTATGTTATTTTAAATGATATAGCTAGATAACCTACCTATAGATATATCGATGTGAAAAGTACACAGATGGTTCAATGTAACATTGCATGCCCAGAAAATATAAATGCTATATCTACCAATTGTCAGACACTCTCCGTTATCCTTGTTACAGATGTTGTCTTGACACGTGACCGGACAATCGGCCCCACACACAACGCCATACTTCCCAGGATAACAATCTAAATAGAAAAAGAGTATATTTTGGCTACAAATGAGCAAAGTACAACGATTTAAGATCAAACACAAACCAACATCATTTTCAAATAATATAATATGTATACTTTTCGTCTCAACTAGGTTGTGCAATATGACTTTTACATCAATAGTGGCATGGTCATTTTGTACCACAATAGTTCAGAGTATGTACCATATGGAAATAACAGCTTGAATTTATATTTACAATAACAATTGAAATTGACACACTTTCTAAATATATACAGTATATTTCTTATTACTTTACCTAAACATTGTCCGGTTTGTTGATCACACATGAACTCTTTACAAGTCACAGGACACGTAAACGTACATGTCTCACCATACCTCCCAGTAGTGCAGTCTACAAAATGGTATATACTTAATTCAGTATATAAATTTAAGAATTTATATACGATTTGATGGCTTTCTTTATAACAAACAGTGTTGTCATGCTCAAATATTTTATTCCCCTAACATAAACCGTTTTATTATCTGTATCACCAGTGTTATGTTTGTCAACTTTCACAAACGACTTTCGAAATTATATGCATTTTTATTTGTATGCGTTGTATTTAAGTCTTGTGCTCGACAGATGTATATACATGCAGTAATCCTATCACAGATGCTTATTAAACCAAATTGCTTCTCTCTGGAACAAACATGTGAACATTTACAAATTGATATATCAGGTAATACATTTATACCTGTATACAGATCATAAAAACCCAGATTTTACAACGTCATACACATTGTGTCATACTTACGTAAACATTTGCCTTCGTTTATCGAGCATACGTTGTCCTTACAATCAGGTGGACAGTTTTGTTCACATGTTGATCCATACTTAGCAGCAACACATTCTAAAAACGATTACAAAAAATATCAGTATTCAGGCTTTAATTTAGATTGCTTGAGGCGACATCAGTGATAATGTTCTGTGATTATGGTTCGCGATATAAGCATATCTTTGATTGAGAATTGTTTATAACATCCATAAGATAAGCATACTTGTAGGCCCTAACATATTATTTTTAGTTCTTTCCGCCAAGCGATGTTCAGCATGTCACACATAATTCGAAGAAAATCATATTTGTTGCGTCATTCTTCCCTTTATTTTATAAAAAAAATGTTATGTAAATGTAAAATCTAATTCCAACTTTAACTTATCATATGTTCAAAACCGCCTAACGAGGAATTATGAAAATATTATGAAAGATAAATATCAGACAATTCTCTTTCAAATTTTCGTTTCAGAGGCTTTACAATTAAAGTGTAAAAATAGATTAAATTTTAAAGAACAAATAGTTCGTTTTGCAACAGAAAGTATATGTTGTCATGAGTTATGATAATTATCTTTTCTGAAATAGTAGTATGACCTAACAAGAATACATTAACACTAACGTTATAAATGTAAACATTGTAACGTCTGAATGCATTGAAATATTTTTAAGAGCTGTGATGACCTCAAACAAACCGCTATTAAGAGTAATTTATCACTGGAAAATAAGGGTTAACTTCAAGCACAGACTACGGCCGCCGATATCGGGTGTAACGTCTGTTGGACGTCCAGACAGATGTAAGAAAAACTTCTATCATCTCAGTGTAACACTTAATAAGCTGTTGTAATATACATGTGAACTGTTGATGATATACACCATGAAGGTGCATCAGAACCTCACGCATACATAAATAAATACATGTTATTTACCTTTGCATTGACCGCTGATTTGCATGCAAACACTATTATTGCAATGTTCAGAGCAGTCGAGGTCACAGTTCGCACCGTATTTTCCTGAAGTACAACCTGAATACAATTGACGATTAAGGTGTTTCAGGGACTGGACAACTTCTGAGATAACGAATTCACTGCTTATCTGACTATGTTATATATGTTTGTTTATTATGTGATGAATGATACACGTCTTACACTCAAAATATCGTATAAAATATTAATTGAAAATATGATAATTCAACTTAAAAATAAATAAAATAATAAACACGCAATGATTTAATGGAAAAATAATGAAAAAGTGTTACGTAAGAAAGATATCAATATCATTATTAGCAAAAATCTAGGTTAATCATACAAAAGTACATACCTAAACATTGTCCGTTGTTTTTCTCACAAGTGTTATCTAGGCAGTTGTTGGGACAAGTGTTTAAACAGAAATCACCATGCCTCCCTGTTATACAAGCTGGAATTGCAAAAACGGGAGATGAATTATTAAACATTTATTTCATAATTATTTGGGCAATATTCTGTAATATTTTGGCCAATGCGGTTGAACCAAGTAAAAGTAATATATCCCGAAGCTGAAGGCTCTGGACATCATTTCTGTTTCTCCTCGTCATATTTTTGTAAACGCCCACAATACAAAATCATCTACCAGTAAATGACTAACTATCGATAAAAGTCTCAAAACGATTGTGACCATGATGATAACAATTATCTGGGTATCATCAACTTCCCTGAGCGGGGCATAGCTTTCTCTGACAGGCGATTGTCTTGGAACTATTGGCCAGATGATTGGACATACCACCATACGCCAAAAGCCAAAACTACTAAAATTATGTGAGGAACAAAAAGTATCGAAGTCACTGAATGAAATGAAATGTCAAAATACATATAGACATCGACTAGCATGTGCATCGCCACCTAGCAATTTAGATGGAGTTTTCATTTTGTAACAAAGCAAAATAATTGGATTCATTGACTGTAAGAAAACGCAATTACAAATCAATGAACAATTACAATAAATTAAACAAAACTCATGTTTAGTGTACCTTAACTATAGATATATTCATTAACACTTTTACAAACATGAACACTAGATACGCACCTGAACAGTATCCCGTGTGCTGAGCACATTTGCTGTCTTGACAGTTAACAGGGCAGTCGAGTTCACATATGTCGCCTCGTTTTCCCAGAATGCATCCTGAGTCCCCCCCCCCAAAACAAAACCACCCAAAAACAAAAACAAAAAAAGGCCATAAATAAAAATGTGTTCCATCGCAGCGAATAAAAAACATTGTCAAATTGTATGTTAAGATAGAAAACACATTTGATGTATGATTAAATGAAAACTAGAACAAAGAGAAAGAAGAACGAACAAAGAAAAAGCGCATCAAATGTTCATGACTATTTCTGACTATTTCTTCTATAAACAAACAAACCAACAGAAGAATTAACAAAACTAGTGGCACAGAGTTATTTTATCTATAGCAATGACATTTTAAGACACACAAAGATGCGAGTACATCGTTTCTGAAAAAGTATTAAGTTTTATACCGTCACAGTGGCCGGTGTCCTTAACACACACTCCATCTTTACAATTTGAAGAACAATCCTGCCCACACGAGTTGCCATACTTTCCCGGGATACATTCTGCAATAGAAGCGAGACAGCAAGATTGTATCTAAAGAAGTTCAACGTACGTGTTCCATCCTTTAAACGATATTATACTAAAACGAAAATATATTTTTCACATATACATTTTCAGTATTAATTTGAACCGATGTTTTCAAAGGACAAATAGTGACAATTAAAGTCTTAACAAAAATATAGCTGTCAGCTGTCATCTCAATTAAAGCCAGCATTAAGATACATTCAAAAAAACATAAATGTCTTTTATCCGAAATGATGTGATTATGTAGCAGACAAACAAAGACTGCAACCTTTCTGAAAGAGTAAATCAATTTAAATGAAATTGCATACTGTAACAGTGGCTGGTGTCCTTAGCACACACACCATCTTTACAATTTGAGGTGCAATCCTGTTCACACGAATTGCCATACTTTCCTGGGATACATTCTGCAAGATTAGAGGCACAATAACTTACATTGTTAAACTGCTGTCAAGGAGGACTGACGTAGTTAGCTTGGTTTATCATTAAATTTATTGAAAAGAGAATCAGCATCTTGTCCTATTTTAGAAGGTCATGACTCATAGAATATACATGTAATAACATCATTACAATACATTTTTCTTTCATAAAAAATGGGAATGCTCGATATTGATAAAAATCTAAATACAAAACACATTTTGTATACCATATGATGTTGTTGTGATGTGTTATGTATGTTGAAAAGCAAGATTCTAAATGGCAATTTTTCTTGTCCAAAACCCCATGGTCAATATATCGCTGATAACACGGAGGATGTCATGTAATTAGGTGATGAACGTATCAGCTTGGTACCCAATAAGTACATAAGTATGCATTTCTTCAAAATTTGTTTCTTTTACATTTGACCTGATTAAAAGCAATTTTATTGCGTATTTAGTAACATGATAAATACATCGGTTTGCTTCGTTCAAACTGAAACATCTTTTGCTAAGTTCCTACAGAGATTACCAGACATGATGTCTCTTTTCAACTATTTTGGTCAACTAAATACCCATTAAAATTAAAGGTAACATCTTCCTGTTGCTTATACGGCTTCAATTTCTCATTGTCTTCTACACACATAATACACCTATTTCATCTATGCAAAACATCGATAACCCCCAAAACTGTTTCTCATTATCCAGAGTCCTTGTCTACTAAGCGATCTTTTCGATTCGAAGGACAGTCCAGATCACACCTTGGAAATTCCTCGTAGTGAACAAATTGTTTTTTATGCTTGTTTTTTATACTAGCTTCAGGGATAGTGATATTGTAAACAAGTATCACATTGAGTTGTGATGTATACGAAGTCATTTTGACAGTGATAATATATCTTGGATCATTAAAAACTAGATACATAGTTTTTGTTTCAATATTTCATCTTCCCCAACAAAATATACCACCTTCACAGTAACCAGAGTCCTTGTCACAAACGCGATCTTTACAATTCGAAGAACAGTCCAGGTCACACATACTGCCTCGCATTTCAGAGGGGCAATCTGATGTAAAAAAAAACATATCTCGTTGGTGTAACTCATCGATACAGCGTACGGAGGAGTATTATACCTACTGCAAACTGATTTTATTGCCGATATATTCCCGCTAGATAGGTGTCTGTTTTGTATTGTATGTTTTATTGAATATGCATATTTGAATCGATTTGAGTCTTTAAATGTAGTTAGAGGTAACCGCATTGAATATTACATTTTAGTAAAGAAAGACAACTTTTTAACAAGATAGTTATCTTGTTCTTTTCAAAAATCTATTTTGAAAATTAAAATAATGAATTATCAACAAAATATAGAAGAAAGTATTCACTGCTTTGAACTTATTATTTTATACATGGACGTGATCGTACCAAAACAAGTAAGTTTTTTGTCAGTTTGGAAAATATACCGATTTCTTGTAAAATGGTATTCAAAACTCTGCTTTTTTTTCTCTCTCAAAATAAATGAATAAAAAGTATTCAAACCTCCAGACTGACTTATTGGTATTACACGGGTATGCAGACGTGCCTGAGTATAAACAAGTACTAGATGTTGACAGGTGGTAGGTTTAGATATGGACAGACTATCTCTAATTTAGGTTTGATATCACATATAGTTTCAGAACATGAAATACATTCAGACGGTATAATGTGCACGATCCCGCCATGCGCATAAAAACAACGAAAATTGTATTCAAACAAGAAGAATAAAAACTTCAAAACTAGTCTCTAGCGCTTCGAGTAATTTTTTTTTTAAACGTAGGTAGATATAAGTATAAAATACAAAAGATACGCAGAGAGGAATTTTTTAATTGTTTTGTTCGACTATAGGTTTGTTCACGTAGTATAAACAAACGACTCAGCCGAAATTTAATACATTTTTATCTGTCTTATTGTAAAAGGTACGTTTGGTTATTTAAAACGAGGAATCATAACAAACTTAAGTGTAAGGAAATATTATTTTTTACTCGAAAGAATTTTCCATTGTTTTGCATTCCGGCAGTTTAATCTTATAGAAGAAAACAATAACAAACAGAATCTAATGGGAACTTCTCTGATATACGTTGTCCATACATGCCCTGCACATCTATTCACCGATAATTTGAAGAATTTTTACAGTGTAGGAAATAATTCCATACTAGTGAAATTTTGCAGTCTATACTTGTTTTAAATCAATGCTTGCAATTGACATATTGTCTTAACACACGTTTATACATAAATGTTGGATTTGTCACGGCATAATAATACATTTGTATATACATTAAAAACATAGTTATCAGCCAATCAAAACACAGGTTCAAATAAAAACGAGTTAAATGTAGTATAACAACACTTTTGTGGGGTATTGTTATACAATTTGAAAAGTAAAAGTTCTGGCGATGTTGCATGGTCCAAATATAAATTTATTAAAATACCTTTCTCTAGGTCGGTGGATGATTTCTGGAGTATCCAAAAACACACCCGTACAGTCCGATGCCTAGCTCCTAACTGAAGTTACAAATCATAATCATGTCCTAAGTACATTTACACAATAGCAATTTAGTAATTAGTTTGAGTGACATCTGTCATTCATAGCAATCGGCCTTTCAGACCCCGGCCGTACCCGACCAGGTAAGACAATTTAACTGTCCTTTGTCTGAGACTGAATGCAGTGTCCGATCTGGTATGACCAGTTAATCCTGTTACGTAATATAATTAAGTTGAAAGATATATGGTATAAGATGGACAAAGCAAATGCATGAGTTAATCTGACAACAATGACACATGTCGACTTTAAAGGAAAAGCTTCATAAATAGAACTTAAACAATTTACACAAATAGTTCCAGGATATTAATTATATTTATGTCACACGACGGTATAGATTGAATGAAAGTTTATAGGTTAAAATACGCCAAAAAACAAATTTAATGATAATATTAAATCAAAGTTCAAATTTAGCACTTTTATCATAAATTCTTTATGATAATTGCATACGAGACAGGATTTTCATACAAATGTTATAAAATGGTACTTGCTAAGCCATCCTCGTTATATCTAACGTTTTACAATGCCATACACCTTTCTTATTGAAATAAGTTATAGCATCCTAAGAGCAAAAATGTTTGAAGAACATTTGCTGATATCTTAATCATTTCCAAACCTGGTGCCACACCGGAACGACATATATTTACATGAGTAGTACTCATTAATTGATGGAAACAATGCCCACAGATAACAAAGCGACTTACAAAAACATTGACCAGTTGAAGCGTCGCAGTTGCCCCCATAGCAGTTATCCGAACATGTTTGGTCACAAGTGCCGTTCCCGTGTTTGTCTATTGGACAGCCTGCAAGATACAAAACGATAAACATTTTTTAGTGTCTTCACTAGCGTATCGTATGCTATTTGAATATTCATGTGTCATGAAAAATTCACTGTCTGAAATCAATAAACTGTATGATTGCTTTATAATTGGTTTTTACTTCACAAAAATGGGTATATCAAGTGAAGTAAATCAAACGATGTTTGGTATCTAGAACATATACAATGCTTGCCATCATCATTGTAACAGGGCTCTAATTGTAACATCGGGGTCGTTTTCAGCAGAAAAAATAATTGTGATTTCTATCTAATAAAATGGGAGCCATTAGGTGGAGTACATCCTGCAAAAATTATAATTCAGTAAGTGACCTTGACTTTGGTCGCACAAAATCTATAGGAAAACTGCGTACAAAGATTGGGCTTTGTGCAATCATTCATTATTGCTGTATTTCCCAAAAAGTTATAAATTGAAAACCTATTGTGTAATTAACAAAACCCATTACAAAATATTAAAAGATATGCCAAATAATATATAAAGTTGTATGTATATTCATCGGATTGATCTGCAGGTTCCCGAACTCAATTTGGCATACGCGATTTGAGTATTGGAAAATGAAAATCAGTAAAGGTACTTGGTGCAATAATAGAGTTTCTGACGACGTTACAGCGACGCAGAACACTTACACTGCTCCTAAGATATAACTAATGCGACTAACTTGTTTAAGTAACTAATGTTCTAGGAGTGGGGTATCGTGGGTATGAGTGAAATCGAGTTTACATATGGCATTCTGATTAATATGATAAGCTTAATCAACATCACAGATAAATAATTACTCCATTATAATCATACATCCGTATCCTATCTATTTAGACCGATCCACAACCAGTTAATTATTCAGAACAAGGCAGGGGAAGCATTTTGAAATGCAAGGGTACAATCTCAATGCAAATACTTCTTAAGTCCTTAGGAATATATTTAAAGACACAATAGATGCTTGCAGTCGTCTTTTTTTTTTTTTTTTTTTTTTTTTTTTTTTTATTTATTTCAGGTATAAAAACCGGACAAATCGCTAGGTTGATACCTATTACTAGGGTTTTTCCAGATAACACGTATACGGATACGTATCGTATACGCATACGCATATGGTGGCGCGCTGTCCTTTAGCGATCCAAACCAAGCCGATCAAAAACGGTAGTGTGCGAAAATTAGTTCCGGAAACAGAAACAAAATTTTAAAGCTTCTTATTTATGTCAAAATAATGTTATCTTTACACAAACAGTGATATTAGACTGTGCTTCGTTTCCACACCGACTGGTGTCATTGTCAATCTATGTCTAAGTAGAGACATATAAAGCCAGTAGTATATAGGTCTCTGGTCTAAGTGACGGTAAATTGTATAAGCTGAGCACTACTATAGCTTCGGGCGAAATGGCTTGCATCTTTTAAAGTAACGGGTAAAAAGCGAAGTCGTGCTCTCGTGTTTCGTTTGTGCAAAAGTCACCATGAGAATACATTGGGTGAGTTCGTATTTCAAGGTTCGTAGGTCAAGGTCAATGTCACCGTTAATATTTATAGAAAAAATGGTTTTAACTGTTCTACCAACTTCATTTTTATGGATATTGATAACACTTAATACAAAGGTCAATTATGAGAATACCTTATAGATGACAGATGTGTTATAGTTTGACATTTGACAAGAGTGCATTCTATATCACGAGGACATGTTTTATGTCAATAGAAAAACTTCATCTTATAAAGTCCTTGCGCAGGCAAGACGTTTTACAACGCCATGTCATAATTTACGCCATGGTTATGCCAAACCTGGGGAGGGGGGCTGATGTGATTACTTTGGTGATTATTTCAGTGAAGGTACATTTTGTCCTTTTCAGGATGTTCTTTTTCTGTTATTGTGCGATATATCGCCTATTCTACGTGATTCCAACTCACGGATGCTCCCCCGGCATCCCTCGGTTGCTAATCATGTTTGATACTGCCACCCTTCGTCGTTCTGATAGTTCTGATTTAATGTTCCTCTTGAGCTTTTGGAGACTGGGGTACATTTCTGAACTTTAGATGTTTAATGTTTTCTGATGACGACAGAACGATATTTACCGGAAGAGATGCTTGGAGTTCTTAAGTCAACGCAGGCGACATTTTTATGAAATTACTGGATATACAGTTGACAGTTGCTCAACATTGACATATACAAACTCCCATGTAAAAAAACTGTTACATCGGCGTAATTTGTATTGTCGTGTTTTTTCCAACACACGGCGGTCGTCCGTGTATAATGCGATCACATACATACAGAGAAATTACGTATAATTTTGATACGGGTGATGCAATTTGTACATATGTAATTTCTCCATACACATACTATAACAGTGACTTGTACACGGACTTAAATTTGAACGTATAATTTATTTTTCACCAGGAAAGCATACGTTGCGTATACGTGTACGTGTTATCTGAAAAAAACCTACTACCTCTCAATGCTTGTCGATTTTACTCTTGTTCTACCGCATGACGCATTCAATCTTTATTTTTTATTTTTTATTTTGTTTTAAAGAATTCCATTGGCATAGAGATGAAATCCATACTGGGAGTTGTTATCATCAAAAATAACATAACGCGAGTATAGCCCCAGAATTTGTTTACTTACCAAACACTTGTACTTCACAAAGCTCCAAAATCGCCCTACTTTCATACCAGACATATCGCTTTGGATTGCCTCTGTAGATGTAGATGGTCACATACTGAGCTACATACGGGCACTGATGGGTCACCACCATCTGTACTTGGGCTTTAGTATTACTCCTGTCTTCATAACAGAGAACACCTAGCGACCAGTCAGTGGTATTCGACATGTAGAGTTGGTAACCTGCAAATCGGCTTCGGGAATCGAAATCACCTAAAATGAGACAGACATCTATCAGTTTTAAATTGATTGTTCATAAGTATGTTCCGATTATGAGGTACAACAATGGCCTGACAAGCAAATCTTATCACATGGTAAAATAATGTCAATTTTTTACTTACATATATTACCTTACCTTACAATATATGTACATGTATTGACGAAAATCAATATGTACATGTTTAATAAATATTGATCGGTTTTGTTGTTATTATCTGAATATATATTTGTGACACAGCTGTGTGATCGCACAACGCACTAAATGTACCGTACGCACAACGTTTTTATTTTATTTTTTAACACACAGTAGTTGAAAAATAACACAGGCAATAATAAGGCATAAAGTTGCATAAGTTCTTGCTGTATTCTTGTATTCCTATGAATATGAAGAAAAGATTCACACGAACTTTTTTATAGCAATCGTTTAACCACCAAAAAAATGGTTGAAAATAATATTGTTTGAATTCAAACATTAGAGGTATGGGTAACCTCAGAAGAGTTTTTTTGAGATCAGAAAATAATCTAAATATTTATAACATCCACAATTAAGAAGATAACGCTACTTTTATAAACACTTTGGAGATTCTAGTATTGTATGAATTTGTACTGCATACGATCCTGATGATTAATTTCACTTCCACACACACGCACACAACACACACACACACACACCTTTTATGTAAAATTTGTACCGTTGATCTTAGGTAAAAAAGGTTCATGGAAGTTTTCTATCGAATATTCCCCTCTCATTATATAACACCACGAATAAAAGTCAAATTTGGTGATGATATTCCCTTTGACTGTTCATTCATTACTAAAAAATCACGATAATAGAGAACATTATATGACCAGACTCAACTAAAATGCGACTGGAACATAAAAATAAGTTAATGTTTTAAATATCGTTGCCCCATTCATAATAATACGGCCAAAGCGCAATGTATACCAGATTCAACAAGGATACATTGCAATGTAAATATATGTAGTGGTTATATATTATATTAGGATAAGCTCACTCCTGTGGTATATTGTGATGTAACTGATGGTGCTGAGACTTCCTAGATCCACCTGCCACCAGGCTTCTTTCAAGTCACGCGGATCTGTATGGGAACAGCAACCAGAATTTCTCAACTCCCGATTTAAACAACCATCAACAGCCCTGCTTGCGTTCAAACGGATTCCATGATCACTACTTTGTGTTGCAGCCTTTCCAAACGAAACATTTTCTGAAATATTGAAAAGTATTTTAACAACATATCAGCACAAATTCATATATAAAATATCATGGTCTGAGGCAAATTCAAATATATATGTAAAAAAAATTGAAGTCGAATTTCCGAACCAACCGGTTAACTTTTTGAGACATGCAAAAGATTGACAAGGCCAAATTATGTGGTCATATATCTAAGTCATAGAAAGCTGACAATTCCGTATAACTTTGCAAAAAGAATATGAACAATAGTTAGTGAAGTGGTTACAAGAAAAATACGTTTACAGGAGTTTACCTCAGAAATCAACATAATCAAGCAGGAATAATATAAGACGGAATCAAAAGGCTATACCGAAATGAATAGAGTAACGCTACTACAACCAAAAGAAATTGATCAATCGATTAATGGAGTAGCCTTGTTGATGATTGTAAAAAGGGAAAACAAAACCGACCAGGTAATGTTGTACCCGATAATTATCGTGTTGGTATTGCTAATATTGAACACAATGATGTGTTATATATATATGATTATGAAATGTAATAATTATTTGGCGTTCCACTGCAGGTTTACTTCTTAACCTAATTACTACGATTTTAAATCACTAGATGTTGAAAGCTAAACTGATAGGAAGAGTAGAATCTCAGAAAAGATAAATTTGTAGGAAAGTAGACATTTGGGAATATAAGTGACGATGACTATTCGATTTTATCATCAGAAATGTTTTCTTGTATATATTTATAGTTAACGGTTCAGTGAACAATGCAAATGATAGTTATTCAATGGAAAACTGAGAAAGAACAGAGTTTGTTACCAACTTACAAACTGATTTGCTTGGTACACTCACTTGATTTGATAGTTGATGGACTTAATAACCTTTTGGAACATGATTTTTTTGTCACTTTTTTTTTAAATTATTGATATAGTAGCTAACATTTCGGATTTCGGATCAGCTCGTGATATCTTTGGAAGAAAAAAAAACTACACAAACGAGTATACAGTCGAGAAACCATGGGTTACGAATGAGTATCATGGCAAAAGGCATTCATTTCATTACGAAAAACGTAAACAAAGTAATTATACACTAAGACACTAACCGGAGAATCATGAAAAAATAGGTAAAAAAATATAAGAAAAAAAATCTGAAATCATGTTATAACGCATACAATGCTAACAATGAAAATGAAATCCGGAAAACGTCATATTTTTGTGAATGTTGTAAACAAACTTGGTGCTTCTCACTCAAACCACAGTGAAGACATACATGTAAACGAATTAAGGATCTGCGCTTCTGAGGTTTATATCACGTTTAAATCTTGTTTTGATCAAGTGTTACGGGATTGAATTATCTTCTTAAATTTAAAACAATTTAAAAGACAACATGATCTGGAGTGACAAAGTGGGAAATTATACAATATTGGTAATTATACAATATTGATAATTATATAATATTGATAATTATACAATATTGGTATTTATACAATATTAGTATTTTATTACTTATTTCATCAGCTGAAGCCTTTTGTTTTTATGAGTTTTGTATTTTCGTTTGTCCTTATTTGTTTAATCACTTTTAATCATAATAATAGGAATAAGGACAAAGACAGAGGACACGTGTAAGGAAATTGTGAGTTTGTAAATACTAGATTTATAATTCGAGTAGGTGAGGTACTTGGGAGTTGCTGTGAGGAACGATTTGTTGGATGAGATGGATCATGTGAGTATGACAGAAAGGTATAAAAGGGAGCGCGGAAGACAATCATGTCAGACAATCTTGTAGCGTCAGCCACGACTACACACCTATCTTCTTAACTTTCGTTACTAACAACGCCTTATTGAAGGGAGATAACTTCTACTCTTAGGTATGTTTAATAGTTTAGATATTCTGTTCTTCTTTTGAAATAGAGGATAACAGTTTGATTGGTATAATAGTAGTCTAGTATACTACTAGTGCCGTGTTATCATAGTGATATAGTGTTAACTACCTGCTTCAGATACTACATCCAGCGTTAAGGTTATTTTTCTTGTGAAATGAGACAAGTTATTCTATATTTGATGTTTTATGCCGTGCATTATTGTCATTCACCACACTGACATCTGACAGTATGAAAGCATGATGTATGAGAGAGTTGCAGCACGTACCCCTGTACAAATATATGATTGCCAATATGATGTGTAATAAAAACAAGTGAACTGTTTTATTGTGTTTGAGAAGTAACTTCAACCCTAATTGATGACCATAGAAGACAAAGGCCAGGCCTGCTACAATACGATATAAAAGAAGCACAGTGACCGCAGTGACAGAAACTATATCAGTAAAATAATCAAACATAGGTGAGAAAATGAGGATTTTATGATTTAAAACTATGGGTTAAAGGTAATCTGCGAAAAATATAATTTGAAGACTATTTACTTCCATCATTTAGAAGAAAATAATATTTTTATAAATTATGCAAGCATTCATAGATTTCAAATAACACACTACGAATGTATTGCATGAACTTCTTTTTTCTTACGATCTAAATGATAAATGTTATAAAAAAATCACATGTGACGTAAAATTCGTAGAATTCGTGAAATCCAGGCCCTGCGGGCTGATATGGGAGTATCGAGCTGATGCAGAGTAGGATATGGAAATGGTCATATGGTAACCTTTGATTACATATCTAAATTTTCAAATATATGTCAGTCTAATAAGACAGACCAAACCCCTGATTACTACGTTAGAAACCCCTCTATCCACAGGATGAAACGATTAATATATATATATTCAATGTACGAATAGTATCTAACTTAGATTTAATTTTAGTGAAAAACAGTTCGAATTCAAATGAACTTTATAGATTAAAGCTATGATTTTACTTATATGTATTTTTATTGTGTGAACTTGTGTTAACTAATCTTCGTCATGTCAAATGTATGTTTGCTTGTATTGTGTATTTTCACAGAGAAATGTGTCCGAGTGCCCTAATAGATATGAGACGTGAAAAAGTCGGAAAACTCCATGTTCTACCGATACAAATAGGAGGCAATGGCGGGTGTAAAATAAAACTTCAAGGAAAGAAAGCAATATAAACAGTAAAAGCTTTTAAGTATGGTATACTGAGTATGTCAGACAGAAGGCGGAGAAAAGGAACATGTATTCATAGTACATTAACATGCATAACTTACACCGTTTCATATCAGGAAGTTTTTGTGTATATGTGAGGAGAAGTGTTTGTGTACATGTGAGTAGAAATAATCAATGTAGTGTTTATCTTGTAAAAGAGTGTTATAAAGAAACTTTGGTACAGTCATTTGGGGCTGCTAATACGCGCAATAACATTTCGAAATGAACAAATGACCTCGGAATCAAAAATATTTATTTTTGGCCAAAGAAAACAAATATTTCCGTTCTTTAAATGCAAAAAAAGCTACGAAGATACAATGGCTTCAACATATCGTATTTTACCCACCGATATTTTACTTTCTCTTGAGGAGTTACATTTGTTTTATGACTGTGCATCTGGCAACATATATCTAATCGAACATCATCTGTTAATTTTGCGGACTTGTATTTAATTTCAAAACTCGATAATAATTCAGGGATGTTCTAGGGAATGGATAGTTACCTCCTCTAGTTTGTAAGCTGTAACGAGTTACAAATATCGGTGACCAATGTTTGTTTTTTGGCTTTTGATATTATGTGAAAAATACCGAATAAAATATTTGAATGGTAAATCAAATGTATAGTTTATATTTATAAAAAGTAAAACTTGTTTGAAAAATGTTTTTATGCTACACGTTAATGTTTTGACTGTAACCGTAAACCTGTGCAGTTGCGTAATAAATACTTAAGTAGAGGGTCCTATATGTTAGTGCAATTTGATACTATATAGAACATTGGAGGGCGTTCACGCGATATCTCTAAACACATGATTTCCGGATAATCTTGTGCAAAGTGCAGTACAACATGATGACGGAGGAGGATAGAATGCGTTACTACATCTCTGCGAGAATTTCCGATCTCAAATTGGTTCAGACATGTCAAAATATTAACCTAAATAACTCGTGTCCTGTGATTTATATAAGACCTAAGTAACATATAAGCGGAACAAAGTACTTATAAGTGACCTGATGAGTAAGAGGAGTGTGGAGTATCTCCTCGACAATTGATACACCTCTCGTATGTCTATTACGTCACTTAATGTCAAAACCTTATTTGTCAATGCAACAATTTTGTTATTCTCAGACTACAATGATTGTATAAAGAAAAGGAGAAATTCTATGACAAGCTGGAACATTTTTAGCATCTTTAGCTGTTTTGCACTCGTCTGCTTACTGTAAATAACTAGGACATTTATTCCATGTATTCTCACCAAAGAAACGTTAACACGTTACCCTGCGGAACATCGGAACATCTTTGGTTAGGGAACGATATTTCAGTAGTTTATGTGTTTGCGAGGGACATCTTCATCGGATAGCTGTGTTCTCATCACACTCTGTCAGTCGGGTTTACGATGCATTGACTAAGAGTCAATAAGAGCATCATTTACAAACATAATTCCCAGTTGTCGTTGACGTCCCCAAATACCTCTGAACCGTAACAAAATATTTCAACATCCCAATCATTCTTTTCTCTCTGTATGTTTACTTGATTAATTAATATTTAAATGTATATGTGTGTGTAAAGAATGTTAGTCGTTTATTTGACCTGGATTTACCTCAGACGTATCATTTCGTTTCCCATACACAAACCAAACTAAATAGAGAAACATTTTGGTGTGAAGAGTATGTGTTTTAAAGCATTGTATTTGCTCATATAACATTTGTGAGGAAAATGTAAACTTACCTTCAGATCGCGATGACTGTACAAAGTAAATTAGAAAACCAACTGTGAGACAGAATGACACTCTCATTGCATCCATGACTGTTATCTACAGCTAACCAGGAAGTTCATTAGTTTGTAAAGGTGAAGGACGTTACACAAACGGTTTTAAATAGTGTATGCAAATCATTATACATTTGTCGTCGAGTATTCAGGGAAATTCCATGCATATAAATAGTAGAAAAAAACCCCAAAAAGGGTTAATGTCACAATGTTTTGTTTTTCCCAAACGTTTTATTTCCCCAGCCATTTTTTTCATATGTGTATATACATAAATCAGAAAAAAACATTCAAATTCCTTGTGATGGTTAAATATAAAAAATCAAAAGAAAAGGGTTTCCACGACTTCCCTTTTAACTTTTTAATGTTTTAAAAATAGATTTAAAATCGAATAAATGTCCTAGTTATTTACAGTAAGCAGGGAAGTCGAAGAAACTCTTGTCTTTTGTTTATATGTTTACATAGACTGGGTGTATATTTATATCTAGGGTCACCCAATACATAGGCTTAGCCACAAGCATGTGTCCAGTCAATCCGAGCAGAGCAGCAGATCAGCATACATGTACATTGTACCTGCAGCTATAGCTACCTGCCAAGGGATACTACTCGGCCGAGGCCCATGTAAGACAGACTGACTACAAAGTATGATTTACTTGAATAAATATATACAAACATTATACATCAAGAACATAAAGGACTTGTGTAATATGTAACATATACACCCAAAGCCTTACATATATATATATATATATATATATATATAGTAGATAATAAATAAATAAGTCCTTGCAAAGGAAAATATAGAATAAAAACAAAAAATTCCAGATCGTCCGCTAGGCCTTTCTGCCTTCTAGGGCTTCTTCAGGCGGATTGATGTATATTTATCACCGTTGGTTACATGACGTCATCAATATTTGTATAGTCAACAATTTTAGTGACGTCATAAATAAACAAGCATAGTGACGTTACAAACAATACCAAGACAAAGAAAACATCTACATACAATACATTGCAAAAATCATTGTGCATTCAGGCTGGGTTTGAGGACTTTTATAAACATATTTTCTTTAATTTCTCTTGCAACTACATCGTCGCTATTCAGTTTGTAAATAGGTAACACATGAAAATCATCTTTAGAACATCGATGCATATGTTTGCTAACTTTGCAAGCAGTATATATATATATACTGCTTGCAAGCATAGACATAGATAAATACACATATACATGTACAATTTATACCAATAAATACATTTATGTTGTACATAGGAATATTCTATGTTTTTTTTTTATATAGTGATTTTTCATATGTGAAGCTGAAAGAAGCAGGGTCATAAGGTAGTCAGCCAATCATATATCCGGATTTACGTCACGTGATATCAACGAAAAAATTACAAGGTGGAAGAATTGCTCGGAATTTCTTTCTTTAAATTATCTCTTTTTAGCTCACCTGCCCAAAGGGCAAGTGAGTTTATGCCATGGCGCAGCGTCCGTATTCCGTCCGCGTACATATTGTAGTATATTATGCGTCCAAGTAAGCTTAAGGTAGTATTTTGGGTTTAAGTGGTAAAGAACATATTAGTTTGTGTCCAGGATTTCTTATTGTGGTCACAGTGTCCGTTGTGACAAAAATACTCCATTTTCCAGTCCGTAAAAAAATACGACTTCGTTGGCTAAGTGGATTTTAACTTAATTTGGTTAGTAGGATCCTTGGGCCAAGGACACTCAATTTTACATAAACATTGGATGTTTTTTATCACAATGTTTTCTCCATCAAATTCTTGTAGTGCCTGTTACTATTAGGGTGCATTGTTATCAACTGCATGCATCGTATAGGAGGCGACTTATGTGTGAACCCCTGCAGAAATGGGGATTTGCTTTGGTGTCCTCTATTTTGGTGTCCTCTATTTACAAAAGCGACCGAAATAAATCTGCTGTACCTATTGCAATATTTGGGATCTTTATCTTTCTTTCTACTTCTAATTGTCTTTTATTCCTAACGCCTTGCTTTGCAACACCTCACTTTTGGCCTTAACGTTAAGCGATCGCCCAGGTGAGGAAGGCCATGGGTTCTGTCCCCAGGCCGGGACATCCCAAAGTCCTTAAAAACGGAAGTTGTTATTCCCTGCTTATCATTCAGCATTTAGGGGAATGGCAACAACTGGTTACCCTTTGTCAGTATAATGTGACCGGGCGAAATGCTGTGCTGGGCGCCTTCGGCATGGTATTTCAGTGAGATAACACTATAAAGTCGGCATCAGATCAGCGCTATCAAAAGGAGGCAAGCACCCCAACATACCCTATCTCCTGCATACACAAACGCAAGCATGCATACACTTCACACATAGATGCACGTCCTTAAATGACCCATAAGATATTTATAGGACGTTAAACAAAATTAAACCAAAGCAATTATTGAAACAAGATGGCCACCAGGCCGCCATTTTGAATTTTGACATTTGAAGATTGAAGTTTCCGCTATATCTTCAGAAAAAACTGGATGGATCTTTCTGAAATTTCATATGTACATATAGTACCTAGCATGGAATGCTATATATTTACCTCATATGAAGTACTTTAAACGTATCCAGGTGAGCGATACATGCCCTCTGGGCCTCTTGCTTGGCATTCTAAGTGGATATTGCACTAACTTCGATTGACGCATCTTACTCTTAAAGATACTCGTACAGTTGATTGGCAAGCAGTCTGTGTATTTTCAAAGGAGGCTGGGATCCTACACAATGGCTAAGTAGGTCATCACGGCGTAGCTTCTGACCTCCGACCTTCTGTGAAAGGTAAACAAAGACATGTGCCATGAAGTAAGTGGTTTCCGGATACTCATTTGTTCGCCGTTTACGTGACGTCGCGTAGAGTGACTCTGATTTTGACAATCTTAGACTTAAAACAGACAATTTTCAGGTAAATTTCCGAGCTTGCAAGGAGGACTGACAGTTCGAAAACTTAAACAGCAAGCTGATCTCCTGTCGTTCCTTGAAACAGACTTTGTGTTTTTACAAATCGGAAGCAACGATTTATCAAACCCTTCTCCTTACCAAGTTGCCCACAGTTATTTTTGACGTTGTCGACTATATTTCAAATGTGAACCGGACAAGACACGTGGTTATTGGGTAACTATTTTGGCGGGCTCCAAAGCTACCAAAACTGTAACATACAACGACGAGGTAGTGCGAACAACCCTGTTGCTGTCTGAAGGAGCGAAGTGCCGGATCACCTTTTGGAGACATAGAGGCTTTTGGAAAGAGAGCTTATCTTTTCTGAGTGTGGAAGGGGTGCGCATCTACATGCCCAGGCACAGAGGAAATACCTCCATAGCGTCAAGGATGCTATCTTAACAATTTCCAAAAAACTTGACTGACAAGCTGGAACCAGGTATAATGTGCTATTTATATATAGTATACACCACCTATATGGCATTGTGTGTTTTAAAGTGTATATTGTAGAGTACAATTACTCTGGATCTGTCCGGCTAAGCTATCAGTATATATATACATGTTCTAAAATATACCCTCATTGTAAGTGAACACTATATATGTAACACAGTGTAGGTCCAGCTATGACCATGGAACAGTGTTCAACAAATTATAAATTCCTTATATATGCTGGCACTTAGTTTTTGATGTGCCTGGTGTAATATGTGACAATATTGCCTAGCTTACAACATGACATCGGATCCATCAGGTTACTTCAACATTTAATTTATGTTGACAGGCCAAGAGGTTTCATACAGATACATGTATTGTCCATCACTATGTATATAATGCATACACCTCTTTGTCAGTAGCATGGGTGTACATATATATATATATATATATATATATATATATAGAAAAAATAAAATTAACGACCGACTAAAAAACTAGCTGCTTTCACCCTTCACAGGGCTCTTCAGGTTTATTCAAAAGAGAACAACGTCGTGACGTCACAATTACATGTCATCACACTACAATAGTAACGTGACGTCACGAAGTACACAAGATTGGTGGACAATTTGGCGTAAAATTTTATTGTGGCCTGTTGAGACTCGGTTTTAATATTTTTATTAGTTGGTCTTCTTTCGTTTCTCTTAAAATAGTGTCTGATGAAAATAGTTGATACAAAGGTAATACATTAAATTTATCTCCAGCACATTCATGAATATGTTTGTTAACATGAAGATTTCGTAAAGAATCAGTTCTAGTTTGTTGTCTATGTACAGTCATACGTGTTCTGAGTTCATTACCGGTTTGACCGATGTAAAAATCACCACATTTAGAACAAACGATTGCATAAATTACATTTTTTGATTTACAATTCATATTTACCTTCACAGTAAATTTCAAACCATTCTTGAAAATAAAAGTATTACACTCGATAATCATAGGACATGTAGCACATCTTGGTGTCTTACATTTGGATACTTTTGGTGTTA